GAAGAAATTTCTATTTCGCCATTAATCAGTGGTCAGAGATCGATCGATACACTAGGTTTGCAATTATAATAAGTATTATTTCTGTTTTTCCCATTTCTTGACATATTTACATCTGATAGAAGCAAATATTATTACGATAACCGTAAAAAACTTCTGTAAATATTTTACAGAATATCATACCAATAGTACTGAGAGAAAAAAATAATATTAATCCCTCAGCAAATTCGTACTCTAAGCGGATTTATCAATTAATATCACGTTTATTGTTTTCCTAAAGTACTCAGCCTATCTGGATCTTGTATTATCCTTAGCCAGAGCAATCACGAAAATAGTTGTATGTACATGCCTCGAAAAATTACATTAACAATTATTTTGAATGGTTTTATTTCTGTTATCGTCCTTGGTCCTCTTGGAGGACCATATTGCATATTTAGTAAAGCGCCTCTCAAGTGCCAACTCTAAAAAAAGTTAATTAGATAAGATTATTCTAGTCTCAAGCTACTACGCTTTCTTCATTCAAGGCATATGCCGGGGAAACTCAAAACTCAAGTCACAAATTTACCGTTTTAAAATTTTAAACTGTGAGAAATTTAGGGACATGCATGGAAGACTCCTTTCCCATTCCCTTTTCCTCGCAACTTCCTAGCCGCCTGAGTAAACATAATTCCCAAAGAACCTGTTACGCAGATTCTAGTGGAATAGTCAGTTTTTTTTCCGAAATATTTCATATTTTAAAGGAATTGAATGTAATGGACACTGAGTAGACTTAGACCAGAAATATAGTGCTTTGACAACCGACCCCGTGCACATTGCCTACTGTTTATTACTCTAAAATCGCAGCCCCTTAGAAAACACCCTCTCGAGCAGACCCTTACCCGTAACCATCCTAGGAATTTCGCTACCTACACTAACTAGTACAATAAGTAACAATTTACTATGTTCAGTTTCATTAAATTTCTACATATTATCGTTATTTATATACAAAATATTAAATATAATAATAAAAATATCAGTCACTTAAAAAATCGTCACTTCGCTACTGTACTTTCTTCTTTTATTACTCGTTTTTCACAGTTGGACCAGCTTTGCACTGATATTTTATCTCCCTCTTGACGAGTTGCGTTCACTTAATTTTGGTGCAGTGTTATTTCTTCTCATATGCGCTAAATATACAATGATACGGAGGGTTTTGTTGTTATATCGTTTTGTTGTGAGTCTCCCTCTCCCTCACCATCTCTAGCTCCCCCCTCCTCTTTCTCCCCCTCTCTTTCCCCCTCTCCCTCCCCCCCTCACTTTCTCTCACACACTCCAACAAAAAAAATAGCAGTTTGACTAAAGTACCTAAAATTTCCGCAGTGACTCGTAATCCGTGCGTAATTGGTTATTTTGGCGTAGGAAGTAAAAAAAAACAATATTTAAAAATCAGGATAAAACAATTATTAAAAAAATTTCAACTGCCTCTTCTTAACTTACCAATTCTGCGCCTTCCTTGGTTCCAATTACTTGAAGCGTTTCGTTCTAAAGCCTCTGCGCGTTCTAGAGGAATCTATGTACGTTAAAAATTTTGCATTAATGCTTCGGTACCCAGGTAAATGGACGTCTGCAATCATTTAAAGAAGGTTGTAGTGAATGTATTATCCCTTGCTTTTATATCCATTATGTTATTTATTTGTGCTAATTGCAAATCTACTAATTGACATTTTGTTCCAGATTCTCTCAAACAACACAACAAGGAAACGGATGAGGAAAGCACCCTTGAGGTAATATTAACGTAAAGCGAGTAAAGAAACAAAACAACGAATTATATTAAGGATACTGTGCAAGCTGCGGGATTCAATGCATTAATATAAACAGCAAACTGAAAAAAATATTTAAAATATTTACAAAAATATGTCTATGGTTATTCATTTAAGAATATCAATATCATTTTATACTATTTAAATATTAAGGCTGCAGTGTAGATATATAAGTGAACGTAAAACAGCGGAATAATTACTTCAAGTTAGATATTGAAACCTTCCTACTCGCACATTAACGTTCTTCCTAATTGCAAGAATATTCATATTTAAATAACAGATTTGTGTCTTTGCAATAAAATTTTCGTTCTGATAAACATAATAGGTAATTTATACCGGAGAATGTAATAGCGAGATATATACGAATATTTTAAAACGTTAGTATTAATCAACGTTATGAATGTTACACTGTATTCATAAATATCACGTTTTCATTCTCCTATAGATGGCATTTTGAAACTTTTACTAGTGAAAATAAAATAATATGGAAGTTGATGTCTCCAAAATTTCCAATGCCAACTACAGAATAAATAAATGTAAAATATATTTTTAACGTCTTTGCGTGCATGTCTTATAAAAATGTAGCTGTGTTTAACATTGGTTGACCACTATATTGTGTACAATTTAAAAAAAAAAACATTTTCAGGGGGGTAATCAATATCTAATCAATAACCCTGTACATTGGTCTCGTTCTCTAGCCTTGATGACGCAACGCTTCCGTATTTTGGGATTTCCTGTTTTGTTTATTGTTCAAACGAACTTGAACTGTGGAGGGTCATCTTTATAAAAAGATGTTTAGCAGGATAATAAATGCATAACTACATAACAGATTTCCTATCTGGGAAATGTATTTGAATATGCCGAAAACACAGCGCTGTTTTCTTATAAATAAACAACAATTCCGGCCCACACACCTCTGAAAGGATCACCTATTGATTGGGTAAGAAGCTGTGTCACCGAAGTCGATAAACGTAAAAATTTGGGAAAAAAAATTTAATAAGAAATATGCAACCTAGAAAACCACAAATGAAATAACGATTTTAGGTTTAACTTTGATTAAACGTCGAGACCAGACGAAGATGCAACTCTTTTCACGTAAAAATAAATATTAAGTTAGTAAAACCTTTTTTGAGATTACCTTAAATTACAAACGCGGTAAAAAAGTAAGTGCAAAAAAAATTACTTAAATTGTTTGAGACAAACCCATAATAAAAAAACAGTCGAATTAACATTGTAAATGTGCCTGCCAGCAAAAAAATTTAAATATTCAAAAATTCAGCCAATACATATTTCTTGATTAATTTATATTTTTATTAAAACTTTTTCAATTCAAACATCTTAATATATGTTTTTTTGCATACAAACAGAATTTCGACTTCGTGACATTCATGCTCGACACTTGACATAAGTTGTTATTGATATTTTGCTGCATTTGTTCGATTTTCTTACCGACACACATCGTTGTATCGTCAATTAATGTAATTTAACTGTTTTTCACAACTTGAGCTATATCGTTGATGTACAGAAGATACAATAATGGCCCTAAAACAGTTCCCTGTGATACACCAAGGTGCTTCACTTCAATATAGGTTCTTTCTTATATTGAAGTGAAGTATGAATCAGTTGTGGATTTTGTTAAATATTTCATACATATCTGAATTAACAGAAGTCTCTTTACGTGTTTTTTTTTAACCAAAAAAGTCGATAAATTTAACATCTAAGAAAATTTGTTGAAATTCAAGGGAGAAAAACACGTAACTTTTGTATTCGTCCGGTAGGTAGGATCTAAAAGATATATGGAAAAGTTTTGCAATCGCCAAACAACAACTGACATTTATTTATATAGATAAATAAGGTGGTGTTCCCATCTACTTGATGCAGTTTTCTATTGAAGGGTTGTGGACTAATTTGCTCTCTTGGGATTGTCAAAATTTGAATGAATAACAAAATATATGTCTACAGCTCGTTTCTTATCGACAGTTTTTCAGTCAACTGATGCAATTTTTATTGCCTTACTCAAGCATCTGGTCGAGTTCTAATTTTATCGCATTGCTGACGCAATTCTTTATCAATTTGAAGATGCTATAACTGGATATGATAGAATAAAATTTTTCCTTCTTCGCCATTCAACATTATTGCATAAATCCGAAATAATCTGAAACAACAATTTTAACTGCAAATGTCTATAAACAATCAAAAAATATGTATATGGGTTTTGGTTGGTTTTGGCTAGTTACAGGTAAACTAATCTTCTACATTCTAGGCTGTTTCAGGAGAGAGTAATAAAGTAATATTAACAAAATGAGAAATTTCGCCTAGTTCCATGCAATTTTGGTGTCGGTGCATTGATTAATCCTTTAAGACCTTTACTGACCACTTAAAACATATGAACTTTTTCTGGGAAATGCATTTTGAAAAGCACTTTTGCTGGAAAGTGATCTAATTGCTTGCTTGAGAAGTCTAAAATAGTAACGGAGAGAGCTGAAAAAAATCTTTCTTCTTGATGAGGCGTGGATTAATGAAGGTTTTATTTTATGTACTACTATAATAGTATTAAATATGACTCGCCAAGCTTTCTTGTCTTTGAAAACACTAATAATCATCAATATTGGAAGAAAAGGGAGATGATGTAGTAGTATTTATGGAGTATTTTTGGAGTATCCTACCTTGTTGCCTTTGGATAACAATAGGCATAAACCCTAGTGGCACTACCTGCCTTCTGTAAAAATGAAGAATTTTGCAATGAAATGGATAGAAAACAATGAAAGTGGCTTAAACATTCGACTTTTTTAGTTAGATGTTAAGGATTTTGATTTGACAAAGTGGCGCAAACTTCAGTACAGTTTTAACGAAAATTGATTTCTCCTTCCAGAAAGCTACATTTTATTACCAATTTGATAGAACTGGAATAAAAATAATCCAACCGTATCTTTTTTTTAAACACTGCATCTTTTAAAATGGATAGAAAACAATGAAAGTGGCTTAAACATTCGACTTTTTTAGTTAGATGTTTTCTAAATATTTTTGCATATTTACAAACTAACCAAAACTAGGGCCCAATCACATCGAGGAGTAAAAGCGACCAACCAAATCAGTCAAAAATAACGCCACACGGTCATGATGCGAAGCCTTTAGGGCGGCAGATATAAAGCGAATCATCGGTTGACCGCCAACCGAATCTTGTGAAGCCGGGATCTAACGCAACTTGTCGAGTAATATTATATTGGTAGAGTATCAGTGGGTACAGCATTCATCGTGGTCGAGTCGCGTAGTACGCCAGACGTACGAGAAAGATCCGTTTTACTGTTTGCTCGCGTTCGATTCGATGACACACATCAATAATATTTGAACGCGAAAGAAAAATGAAAAAGAGAAAGCTCGGAACTGGTGCGACGTTGTTATTTTTTCGCGACTATCTGTGATATATTTCGGAGGTGGTATTTTTTTTTAATAAAAGCACCCCATTTTCCGCCTCAAAATGGTGTACAAAATGGACTTGGACAAATTAGAAAACCGACATAAGGTTAGTGAGTTGATCGTATTTTATTTATAATTATAGTATGCATTTATTTCCCACGCAATGGTTATTCAGGTGAAGGGTCAGCCCTCCCTACTGTCACCACTGATATTTCATTCATTTAACAAAATTATTAATCCAAAGTTATATTTTGTGATACCAGATCATTTTTCGAAAATATTGACGGAATACTTCGCATATTGCGGTAGTCGAGTTAATGAAAGTTAAGTATTTCTAAATTATCGTCGAATTGATACGGTCGTCAGTATAGCGATATGTAATTATTAAACAGAAAAATACTATTAACTATATCTACACCAATAGTCTGTGGTATGCTGGTTTGATGGTCTTTACCATTACTGACATTTATTTTTTCATCCACCACTACTCCCGACTTGAAACATAGTAACAAATTACTCATAATTATACGGTGATTGATTTAAAGTGCAATATTTTTACTTTAACAACTTATTGTGCGTCCACATCTATACCTATAAATTTAGTATTATTACTTGTAACATTTTTTATCGTATCTTCTATTAAAAATACACGTTTCTTTATTTTATACAAGGTTTTTTTGTATTTGAGTGTACAGTACATCCCAAATTCGATGCTCCTCATGACATGTCTTGAGAATAAACGAAGTTTCTAAGGGCCACCAGTTTCGGGACCAAAAGTGGGCTCTTAGTCTCAGACGTATGCGACCTCCACATCATGGGATGAGCGACATCACATGTAAGCCGTATTTAAAAGAGGAACTTTCAATTCATCTCCCAACCACTATTGTGCAACTAGGAGGTCGACTCCTTGAGCTGGAGTTACTGTTATACTTCTTGAGTGAGCAAAAATATGACGGCATAAATGATCGAGAGCTCCTGGCCATCAAAGACACCCATCAAAGATACCCCAGATAGATTAGGAAAGATATCTTTTGGAAGACAGCCAATTTGGGATTGAATTAATAAAAAAGTTCCAGAATTCAAAATTTATTCCAAAATAATATAAAATTTAGGCACTCTTGAATCGCAAAAGTGATTATTAGTAATTTTTGCGATTTTTTCCTGTTAGGGTGCTTAAACTTCATCATCAGGATTGCTTACATTCATTAAAGTATCATCAGCATTTGAGTTTTGGCCACTGGAAGACTCAAAGACTTAAAATTCGTACATCATCTTATTGAATTGATGTATTCGTGAATAAGCCACGACGTTAATTGTGAAACTAAAAAGACCACTTTGGTGCTAACAGGCATAGAGTTCTGAGATTCACCCAAAAGCTCAATGTAACGAGTACAATGTAGGAATGAACTTTCATATAAGTATGCGATACTACGTGCTTTGAAGACAAACACATCGATTTCAATTACGTGAATATATTTTTTACTTTAAGTGAGATGCAACAGAGAAATAGTTTAATATTCTAGGCAACAAACTAAATGATTGTTAATGTCTTGCTGTTTAAATGACTTCGTGGGAACAAATAGTTTGATTTGAAAAAATGTTTCCCTGCAATAGTCTAGTAAATACGTTAAAAATCGATTGACGCGCTTTCATTTTAACCGATTTAACACGATTCTTGTTAGCTCTTATTGTAAAGTGAACGAAAAGAATTTTAAGTGCAATGTGAATATTTCACTGATTTCGGTGACTAACAATTTATCTTTTAGAAAGTTTAAGGATTTTGATTTGACAAAGTGGCGCAAACTTCATCATTGGACTTCGTTAAAAGTTTGTCTCTTATAAAACTTCAGTTCTAGTTAAACAAGATTTGTAGGTACAGTTTTAACGAAAATGAATTTCTCCTTCGAGAAAGCTACATTTTATTACAAATTTGATAGAACTGGAATAAAAATAATCCATCCGTATCTTTTTTCTAAACACTACACCTTTTAATACATCGAATATAAATGTGCTGGTAATTTAACTTTGGTAGCTTTGGGGCATTATGCATTGAAACTTTTGGGGCATTATGCATTGAAACTTTTATTTATATTATTTTACCCATTTAGTAGCTTAAAATAGTGGTTCCCAGGATTTCTGGGTTATAATAATAATATGGTAGAAATCTAGCTGCTGCGAGTCCACCGGAATCAACTAAATTTTGAAAGTGGTCTATGAGAAAAAAAGTCTGGAAACCACTGGTTTAAAAATTTCCTATGTATCATCTTCCCTTGCATTTGTATTTTTGAGATAAACAATCGCAGGTTGTATATCATACTGTAAATAGTTTGTTTCAAAACTGGGATTTATTTAGAATTCTATGCGGGGTAATCGCAAAGATATTTCAAGGTTTGCATAGGAATTTCTATGGCAAATAACCTATTCGGCTGCCTTGTATCGCTTATTGTGCATATAGGATTAATTAATAATGACTAACATCGTAAAATTTAAAAGCAAAAATAAACTTGTTTTTTTTTTATTTGTAAGATAATAACTATTCACGATCCCAATGGATTAAAAACTCTTCAGGATGGGCGACAAACCTGGGGACGTTGCCCAAGAGTTAATTCGACATTATTTACGATTTGTACTTTTACCATGTTGAACTGCCTAAAACACTGAGTGTCTTACTCATACGCTGTTCAGTAGATAAGGATTTGCTTTTTTAAGCAACAATGCAATGAAAACAATTTACCAATAAATCGTTCTAATTTTGTTTACGAATCCGAAATATTGTTATGCGTTGAAATAAATCTTCAGGAGCATTTCTGATAGTAAGTTATGATGTAATGTTCGTATTATCCAAGCAGACAATCCTTAAATAAAAATTGAAAATAATCTTTTACGAGTCTCGAATTCTGAGGATTCCAAACATATCCAGAAAGTTCGAAACGTCTGTTTACTATTCATATACGGAATACGAATCAAGAAACGCATAACGTACAAATTAAAACACTGGCTATGACCAAAAATGAAACAAAAACTTAAACTATATACTCTATTTCTGCCTGAGAAAGGTCCAATGTTGCCAGCCACTATTTTGTTGAGTCATTTATCTCTAATATCTTGAAACTTTCGAATAATGTCCTTGGATAAAATCTCACAAATATAACACAAATTGTAAAACTGTATTCACTCAGTAACAAATACGACAATATACTATAAGAAATATAGTCAACTAACCAAAACTAATATCCATTCTTTCTTCATGTTGTTCATAAATAAATTATCGTTTATTGACCCCTTATAAATACTAAAACGTATTTTTGAAGTCAGGAAGATTACAAACAAGATACATATATTACATATAAACAGTTAAACTAGTGTAACCAGAAAGTAGAACTTTGTATATATAGGTACACTCTAAGAATAGTTAAATCTATTCTATCCTGTTCTAATTTGATCTCCAGTACACCCATTTCTAATTCATTTTTTCATTTTGTTTACAATTTTAATTTGAGTAACTTACAATTACTTAACTTTTTAACTATGAATCCTCTTCTGATAAATAAGCCATGTAAATATTTGTTGCTCTCTGAATGGAAAATTCCTGATTTGCACCAAATTGTTCTCATCGTCAAAATTTAAGCAGTCAATGCCAGTGCATCTGTCTCTCAACGGGTGAAAAGTCCTGTCATTGTCTATGAAAGAACCGCGGCAATGTCGCTTTCAGTAAAAATCCCGACGAATCTTAAGGAAGCTGAAATTCGACGCCAGTCGAGAAAAGAGAGACCAATTGCAATCGAATACAGATGAAATATCCCGAAAGTATCTTCAAAGAAGCATTCTGGAAATGGTTCCTAATTTCAGCGCGACTTTGGCTGAAATAGGAAAGGTCTGAGGAATATCAAAGTTTTACAATTGAAAAGCACTACATGGAAGACTTTGCGCAGGTATCAAAATATTCAATGGGATTTTGAAAATACCGTAGAATCTACAATTACCTTAATTGCTACGTTATTTCTTCTGCTGTAATGTTTAAAGCTTTTACTAGATGGCGAGCTTAAATTCGGAAGTGATGTAACAATTTTGAAGTCACAATTCATATAATGGCTGTAGCATAGCAAAATAACCTCAAAAAGAGGTAAAGGTATTGTCGTAGTTCATTATTATTATTATTCAAAATGTCACTTTGATATCTTCAACGGGTTCTAAAAATAAAAGTGAAGCAGGAGCTTATGGCGTAAATGAAATTGGCGACTAAAAGTCGCTTTGCAATTTGCGCCTGATTACAAACCTCAAATTATTTCGCGATATAACGATTTTAATTGCCGCTTTCATGCGTTCTAAGCCGCGTGATGCTTGTTTCCCAATAATGATCTATAATGATCAAATATTCATCAATTAATCAATGTATTTTGCGAAATGTAAAACATGGGCAAAGGGTTTTATTTTTTATTACTTTTGTACTATTCATTGGTGTGATTCTTCTATTATTTTTTAAATATTAACCCTTTTACATACTCGATTTCCCACCAACAACGTATACCAATACAAATTATTACTATTACATATTAACATATTACAATAAAGACAATGAGATGTGAAATTTCTTAAATAAAATTCATTTAACATGCTTGACATTAAGCATAGATATCATTATAACCAGTTTCTGCTTTGGGATTCGAAGAAAATCTCATGTAAATAGTAGGATGTCACAAATGTAAAAAAAAATAATTTAGGGTAAACAATCAATTTATATTTTATATATATTAAAAAAAGTTGTCCAATACAAAAATTCTCCACTTCTCGACCAAAGCAATACAGTGTGTGAAATTAAGCCGACATCATAAAGGAAACTTATTTATTCTGAGTTTTGCAAAAAGTGATTCATTATAAAAAGTTCTGCAGGGTTTAAAACTTAAAATATAACCATCAAAAATAAAAATTGTTGAGGCTTATATGCATAATATTTTATTTTATCATTGGAAAGTTTGTTAATACATAATAAGTAACAATCATAACAATATTGGAAATAAAAAAGATTTCTATTTTATTTAAATTCACTTAAGCCGTAATATATATATATATATATATATATATATATATATATATATATATATATATATATATATATATATATATATATATATATATATATATATATATATATATATATATATATATATATATATATATATATATATATATTCTCACGTATTGATTCACGGATGGAAAAATGTGATGACACTATACTCCGGGATATCATCATGATATCATGAACACTACACAGTGTTCGAAGTGTTTTCGGAGCGCGAGCATTGAAGATGCCAAGTGAGATTTTGGCGAAACGTCTGCAGGATTCCAGTCGGATGCAGGATTTGCAGGATTCCAGTCGGATGCAGGATTCCAGTCGGAGTTCAACGAGCGAACGGATGATATCCCGGAGTATAGTGTCATTATATATATATATATATATATATATATATATATATATATATATATATATATATATATATATATATATATATATATATATATATATATATATATATATATATATATATATATATATATATATATATATATATATATATATATATATATATATATATATATTCTCACGTATTGATTCACGGATGGAAAAATGTGATGACACTATATTCCGGGATATCATCCGTTCGCTCGTTGAACTCCGACTGGAATCCTGCATCCGACTGGAATCCTGCAGACGTTTCGCCAAAATCTCACTTGGCATCTTCAATGCTCGCGCTCCGAAAACACTTCGAACGTCTGCAGGATTCCAGTCGGATGCAGGATTTGCAGGATTCCAGTCGGATGCAGGATTCCACTCGGAGTTCAACGAGCGAACGGATGATATCGCGGAATATAGTGTCATTATATATATATATATATATATATATATATATATATATATATATATATATATATATATATATAATCATCGTATCATATCATCATATCATCGTATCATATCATCATGTCATATCATATCATCATATATCATCCGTTCGCTTGTTGAACTCGGACTGGAATCCTGCATCCGACTGGAATCCTGCAGACGTTTCGCCGAAATCTCACTTGGCATCTTCAATACTCGCGCTCCGAACACGAAGTGTTTTCGGATATATTTATATATATATTGATGGTTCTTTCATCAAATTTTCTGACATTTTCAATATCCTTTCCAAATGATGAATATTTTGAAAAAAAATTATGTCCAAATTATTAGTGCTAGTACAAATAAGTTTAAGGTACAAAATTACTCTTGCATAGAATTCACTAACGAAACCTAACATTTATCAGATTCGTTGGTGATTAATGATGATAATAATTATTTTACATATAGAAGTAAAATGGATATTTGCAACCTGACCTACAATTTCAGAGTCAGCAAGTGTTACAGCATAAAGTTTTAAAAATTTTGTATGAGTACACACTGGTGACTTCTACATGGCAATTTTTTTCCGATTAAATACATTATCAATATTTTGTTATTATTGTTTTCATTTTTATAAACAAAATATACTTGCTAACCATGTAAGTTAGACACTTAACTAAAAACAAAAACATTAAATTCAATTAGGTACAGTAAAAAGCAAAGTGTCAAGAAGAGACTCGCTTTTGGGTAATTTTCAAAATTGAAAATAACTGCCTCGAAGGTTAATATTTAATAATTAGATCTGACACATCCTCTTTCGTGTTGTAAGTTATCGCGTTTTTCAATTGTTTATTAATATAATTGGCCTTGCTCTTGCGCGTAGTTTAAGGCAAACGCACGCATTATGAGTCTACGTCAGGACTACTTCACTATCTCTTTTAGTTTTGAAAGATTTATGCGTTGTTTGATTGGCTAACGTCCAATTTTTTTTTGCAGAAACTGCCTTATCCCAAATCAGTATTTTTCATAGTCACTAACGAATTCTGCGAGAGATTCTGCTACTATGGAATGCGAAGTAAGTATTTGCGGCTTAGGTTTAAAATTTTTATATGAAAATAATTACTATATTCATCAGCCGTTAATGGAGTCAGCCTTGGTCCGAAACTGACGCTACATATAGAACCAGGAACTTTTATTATTTTGTAATACGTAATTTAATTGAAAAATTCGTAGAACGCATTCGTTGTACCTTGACTTTTTGGCCTTGACCTATACACGCATCTTCCACTGTGTACAGCGGGTCCCATATTGATTGCTATTGCACGGTATCTCGGTTATTAGTAAAGATAAAACCCCGAAACTAAGCAAAACTTAGTTTTTTTTAACAAAAGATGCCGCAAAGAGGACGATATTGGAAGTATTAAAGTTTCAAGTACTCCTTGTATGTCAAAAAGTAAACCCAAATATCCTTGATTAGAAATATTGACGAAACAACAAAGAAGTATTTCTTGTTATACTGAGATATCATATTTTACAGGTTTTCCCAAAACACCATTTATATTATAATATTGTTTTATTGCTCGATCAAAATAAGTGTGTGTTTCAATAAGGTTTGTGACACCTAAATCATCTGGTTTTTTAAATAATTTTAGTTTTGGTAAAATGTAATATAATTTTTATATCTCAAATATATAATGCATGTTTAATTAATGGCCAAACTTTTATCATAATCTAATGACAATTATAAATGGCTATAAATTGATTATTTTTTAAATTACCGTGGAAAATAATTTTTCAAAGAAACTTCCACAGGCTAATGTAATACTTTTTATAATACTTCTGGATTCCTCCTGCGTGGGTTTTTGTTGAGTAGGAGTTTCAGTCAAGCTCTGAAGAAGCCAACAGGATGATTGGCGAAACGTTAGCTAAACGGAGGAATCCAGAAGTTTTATTAAAAGTACCAGTAATATACTTTTTAATTACATATCGAATGGTGTTGGGTGTCCTCCTCGAGTTGTTAAAGGTCAAGTAATTTTTTAAACCTGTGAATTTGACCTGCATACAAGTCACGGCATAAAAACCAACTAACTAAATAATCATAAATAATTTATCAAAATTTCAGAAAACTTAAAATGCACTAACCAAACTAAATAGAAATGAAGAAAAAACAGTATTTCAATAACATTCTTTTAGAATAATGAAGAAAAATCTATATTCAACCTGTATTTCAATAAAAAAAATTAAAATAATCTTATGAATATTCTCTTGTATTGGGTGAAGACCACGCAACAATAAAGATCCAAATTACAACAACTAATGCAGTGAGACAAAACTGATAGCTTAAAGCAATTATTCGATATTTCAAAACAACAAGCTCTTGTATTTAGAAAATGATATGAGGGCACGTATCCCGAGAAACCCGAAGATTTAGCTATAGAACAATTTAACACCAGTCGATAGGTAATTAAAACGTTAAAAATTTACACTGTGTAAGATCGGAAGGCATTTATAGTTAATAAAAGTTATTGTAAAATACTTCGGAAATACTTCTTTCTTATGTATTTGAAAAATTAAAATTATGTTACATTTTCAAAAAATTCATATTTTTTAACACACACTGAAGATTTAGGTATTATAAACCTTTAAAAAAATAGAAAAATGTTATAATATACAAAGAGTTCCATTTAAAAAATACACCACTGATATTTTAACACTTTTGCGATTACCTCTATGGTATGAAAAGTAATTGCAATAATGAATGCAATACAATTTAGAATCCGTATAATGAAAAATACAAAAGAAATAAACGAAATTGGAATGAGAATAGAGATAGGAGCTACCAAGATAGAAAAAAAAGCCATAAAATTAAGTTCATTTTAAAAGTGTAATTGCATTTACTGGGTTTTGGTTTATCATAATCAATTAGAATTTGTGCTATATATTTATCACATTTTGAGTTAACTCACCATACCTTTCAATTAATAAATAATGAAATTTTAATTTTCTTTGAATCAGCAGCCATCTGTTTAATCGTGTATCTTAAGGCAGAATAATTCGAAAATTATTTTGGTGTTAGACGTCGAAAAATATAAATATGAGAAATGTAAACATGAAAAATTAATAAATTTAACACAAAAGGCTACTATGAACGAAAAATTTTAGAGTCAGATAATCAAAATAAAACTGCGTGGTCTATTGTGTCTGAGATAAGTGGAAGGAATAAACGACCAGAGATTAAGAATAATGTTAATTTTATAGTAGCATTAGCTAATTTTATGAACAACTTTTTTATAGAAACAAAATTTTGGCTGAAGTCAGCACTGTTTCAGAATAAGTAGATCAACCCAAACAGCGATCCATTCATTTTTGGAGCATGCTATCAACTATATTGAGTCTAGAGAGCACCCTGCTGGGATATTTTGTGATCTTAGCAAGACGTTTGACTGTATGAACTGTTCTGTCGGGGATTCGTGCGACAGTTAAATGAATACGTTAGTTCAGAAACTAAAGATTTATTCTGTAACGACTTCAAATATTACAATGCCGGTTATCGTGCGTTGCCTGAGGACAGGGCGCTCGCGCACCGATACATATTGAGTGCTAAGGATAGACTAAATCCTAGGGGTTTCTACGACAGGAACGTTAACATGCTATGTTGCCATGTCTAACAGAACATCCCCCCCTTTATAAAGAAATGAGTCTGTAATATAGTCTTTTAAATAAGAGGGTCTTTTTGTAATTCTGATCGGACGAGAACGCTTAGTGCGCGTTCACGATTTTCACTGACACTTTCTTTTTTGTCCGTTTCACGAGCTCTTTCAAATTTATGTGAATCAACACTATAATTTAAAGTATCACTTTCGAGCTCGTTGAGATTGAGTTTATGATTTACACTGGAATTAATTGGGTTAGTAACATCATTGGAAATCTCATCTGACAATGCTTGAGTGACTGACGAAGACTCATTGTTTAAACACGAATGATATTCGGAGTTATTTGGAACAAAATTATATAATAGCTAACACTAGATGCCATCTATTTCTACGGAAAACTCCACTGTTTGTTTCGACAAGCAAAGATCTTGGTTTAGTTAATTTTTGTATTATTCTACCATACATCTTTAAATCGGTCACCCAAACACAGTCGTTAATTTGCAAATCTGACAATTGCTTAACTCTATGTCTTGGTGTCTTAACGGCGGCTTCTACGCATCCATTGGACTGTGAAAAATAAGGACTACTAGTCACATGTTTAAAGTCATAATCTTTGGCAAATTGTTTAAATTCACTTTGAAATTGCGGACCATTATCAGATCTAACAGTTTCTGGAATACCAAACTTTGCGAACAATTCTTTCAATTTGGTAATAATATTTCTTTCTGTTAAAGATTGAAGCTTGAAAATATCGAAATATCTTGAGATATAATCCACTATAATCAAATACCAACTATCAAGTTTAAATAAATCTATACCTACTTTTTGCCATTGTCTTTCGGGAAACGGTTCTTTAAATAACGGTTCTTTTTTATTAATTCGCTGTTCAACACAGTTGGGGCAATTTCTGAATAAATTTTCTATTTCGGTTGATAATCCTAGCCACCAAACTCAAGATTTTGCTCGGGTTCTACATTTAACAATTCCAAGATGACCTTGATGAATAAACCCAAGACATTTTTCTTGTAAAGATTTCGGTATTATTGATCGCGTACCGCGTAATAAATAACCATCACATTCAGAAATATCAAAACGGTATTGAAAATACGGTTTAAGTTCCAGGTTCATTTTATTTTTATTCGTAGGCCGTCCTTCCTGAGAAAGCTGACGTAATTGTTGACAAATTGAATCTTTGTTTTGTTCAGATTTTATTTCTTCCAAAAAATACGGTTTGACTTCAAAAGAGGTATTGATTAAATTTACATAAATATCAGTTTCGAGGACCAATTTGTCGTCTTTCGGTAGTTCATCGATAGCGAATTTTCTCGATAATGCGTCCGCAACAACTAAGTCTTTTCTCGGTACAAAATAAATACCGTAGTCATAGCGCATTAATCTTAGTCGGAAACGTTGCAAACGCGGCGTTAATTCATCAATAGGTTTAGTTTGAAGAATCTGTTTCTAGAGATACTTTTAATCCAGAGATCCAGAGATATACTCAGAAAATTTATCACAAGCCCACGTTAATGCTAAACTTTCGCGTTCTATTTGAGCGTAAAATTGTTTTTGATAGCAATCTTGACGCGTAACATACTATATATACTTATATATACATATATATATATATATATATATATATATATATATATATATATATATATATATATATATATATATATATATATATATATATATATATATATATATATATATATATATATATATATATATATATATATATATATATATATATATATATACTTTAACCCACTTTTGTCTTGTTGAATTAGACAAGCTCCTATTCCAAAAGATGAAGCACCTGCTGAAATTATATTTTTTTTACTTGGATGAAAATATTCTTTAATTTTTTTTAAAACTTTGTTTTTGTGACAATCCCCATGAAAAGTTTACATTTTTCTTCAATAGAGAAGTTAACGGTTCTAGAACGTGAGAACGATTTGGTATAAAACGACTTGAAAAATTTACCATCCCTAAGAATCTTCAAAGTTCATTTTTATCAGTAGGATTTGGAAAATTGATTATAGATTGTATTCTTTCGGGGTCTCTACGGCAGGAACGTTAACATGCTATGTTGCCATGTCTAACAGAACAAGAACCACGAAATTCTTTTTAATAGGATGGAACAATACGGATTTCGTGGAATGGCTGTTAACTGGTTCAGATCGTTCTTAACAAATAGTAGGCAGCATGTTGAAATAAGGCAGGAGAGGGGCAACTTGTGTCAAATTAAAAAATCTCAAGTCCAATCTGTAGATAGAGGCGTACCGCATGGTACAGTTCTTGGCCCTGTTTTATTTATCCTTTTTATAAATGAACTTTCTGCTCACCTGCCTAGTTTGGGTCTATCAGAGTTGGCTGACGACTGTTCAAGTTTAGTCTCCTCACACTGTTATCAAACTCTTCAAGACAGAATTAATTCAGCACTTGTCCTGCTAAACAGCAGGTTTAACACCAACGAACTCTTTTTGAATGTCCAGAAAACAAGTGTACTGATATTCAAATGCCCAGAAAACAAAAAAGATCTTTGTGTGAGTGTCTGGTAGGGCGGGGAGGCCGTTGAAAATTCTTAGGACTAGAGCTCGGCGAAACCCAATCTTGGGAAACTCAATGCCAATTACTTTCTTCAAAGCTGCATAGTTATTGTTTCCTAATCAAAAATTAAAAACTGTTTTGACTGGAAAGTGCATGATAAATTTCTACTATGCTCACATCTATTCGAGATTTCTCCTCTATGGTATTCCCTTTTGGGGAAATTCAAGTCATGCGACATCTGTTTTCAAATCCCAAAAAAAAAGTTCTAAGGTGTATTGCTGGAGTGTCGCCGGATAGTTCGTGCAGGCCCCTCTTCTGACAGTTTAAAATGCTGCCTTTAGTTTTATGGGTATATAAAAATAAAAATACCTTACAAAAAAAGACTGTTTCTCCATAAAAAATAGACTAGAATTTTCAAAAAAATATTTTACGAACACCGGTATTAGAATCTAAAAAAGACTGTCCCCAGAGCTAAAAAGCAGTAGTAATGTAAACATTTTTAAATCTAAACTAAAGTTTTTCCTCCTAGAAAACTGTTTTTGTCATTTAAACGAATATTTTACCTATTAATGTTTGTGGCTGTATGGTTGTGCTCTGTCATATATTTTTATTATATAAATTTTTAATGTAATTTTCTGCCTCATGTGCATGATCTATATCGACCTACTTGACGAAATCCATAATACACTGATTGTATTCTAAATATGTGGGATAATAAAGATATTATTATTATTATTATTATTATTATTATACCGGATGGGTACCTACCTGATGTCTAAAAATTGTAATGGAAGCAAAATGCTCCCATATAAAAGCATCGGACGCGTTCAAAATTTTGGTTGCAGACAATACTTACACGATGAAGACCTAAGCAATTTATTTGTTTTTCAGCCATTCTCGTCCTTTACCTCACCAACATCTTGCTGTACTCGGACGCCGACGCCAAAATCGTCTACCATACCTTCACGATGTTTGTCTACTTCTTCCCCGTTTTGGGGGCGATTCTGTCCGACAGCTTGCTGGGCAAATTTCGGACGATCCTCTACGTGTCTTGCATCTACGCGGCCGGCAGCATCCTGGTCTCTTTAACAGCTGCAGAACCGCTGAACATACCGCAACGGGAGTTCACCATTTTGGGTTTGCTACTCATCGCACTGGGAAGTGGTGGAATCAAACCGTGCGTGTCCGCATTTGGAGGAGATCAGTTCATTCTTCCGCAGGTGTGTATAAGAATTTACGCTAAGCCAAACAAAGCTAAAAGGAGTTGTGGTTAGACCTTTGTGTAGCCAACAATAGCAAAGCTTAGACAGTAGAAAAGTCTTTCTTTGTCCGGTTTTCCATGTCAGAATATCTTTTAGGAGCGTTAATATTCTTCCATCGATGACTGCACTTGCGAAAGCGTAGCCGAAAAGCAGTTTGATATCTTTTACTGTTACGAAGCGGCAATTGGGTCGATTTTTGAAAAATATTGAATAATTAAATCCGCATGTCGATATCTTCATTAACAACCAATCAAAATAGGCAGCGTTGCAGATAACGCTAACATCAAATTTTATTAAAACGCCAGTTATTGCAATATTCCAAAACTATTTCAATCTACATCCGATGGTGAAATATTTTTAGGTTTGATCAAGATTCTATCGAGACTGAAAATGCCAATTCATAATGAGTATCGAGCGAAGATATGAACCCTATTGTGTTTTACCAAATGGCGCACCTATTTTTGAAGAATACATAAATCCATTTGATATTACCATGAACACGTAGCAACCATGGGGCCATTTTTTTGAGTCAAATAAAGCGGCGTTAATTTTTTTTTTCTCTACAATGTTTCGTTTTCCCACAAATGAATGCTTTATGTTTTTATGACAATCGTAGTTGCCCTGAGAAAAAAAATTGACTGATGTGCAGAAATGCATCAATATTATACAAAAAATTGAACAATTATTAAAAAACTGAGTACATATATAGTAGACAATTGGTTGTACAGCCCCTATACAACTGCTTGTTAGCCATTATATAAGTTGCTGTATATTTATTCTCCGCTATAGCCATTATACGAGTTGTTCTGTAGTTATTAAACCAAGGCTGGATAGCCATTATACAAAATGTCATATACCTGTTGCATTGCATTGACATTATAATATGCTTGTATTGATTTTATAAAAAAAATGTATAGCCTGGTATTAAAAATTAAAAAAAATAAAAAAAAAATAGCAGGATTTTAGGAGCCACCCAATGTCGACAAAAAATACATTTTAGAACGGGCACCGCCAACCAACAAAATTTTTAATATCCGTGTGAATTAAAAATGGACGCTAAAAATGGAAACTAATTATAATATTACTTTTGGTAGATGTTTATTCAATGATATCCTGGACTGGTAATGAAAACTCTATACTAAGTGTTATTAAAAATAAATTACTTGAAAACTTGTGTTTTTCAAACAAAATAGGGTAACCCAAAAACGCTAAATATATATATATATATATATATATATATATATATATATATATATATATATATATATATATATATATATATATATATATATATATATATATATATATATATATATATATATATATATATATATATATATATATATATATATATATATATATATATATATATATATATATATATATATATATATATATATATATATATATATATATATATATATATATATATATATATATATATATATATATATATATTTGTAGGTTCGTCGTCAAGCTTCATGAATTGAACCAATAAATTAACCAATACCAAATGCATTGATGTTTCCTGAATATATATTAAGTGAGACGGAAAAGTTGGTAAAGGATATGCTAAAATAATTTGATCTGAAAAAATCTGAATAAGAATAAATAGGAAGTCTATTTTAAATAGATACAAGTATAGAGGCTGTATGAAACTATTTTTTTTCTGTCATACTATCTTATGCGTTGAATAAATTAGTGAAAAATTTACCCTTAACCAGACATATTATTTGAGGAGCGTTCTAAACAAGATTCTTTGCAGCAAGAACAACAGCTCGGCATGTTCTTCTCCCTATTTTACATGTCCATCAACGCGGGCAGTTTGATTTCCACATTCCTGACGCCCATTTTGAGGAACGACGTCCATTGCTTCGACGCGGACAGCTGTTATCCACTAGCATTCGCCGTGCCGGGAATACTGATGGTGATCTCTATTAGTGAGTGTCATTTTGTCGTGCAAAAAACTTTGCTGACCGTTTAAATTCCAGTAATCTTTGCTCTGGGCAAGCCACTGTACACCATAAAGAAACCCAAAGGCAACGTTATGGTCGAGGTGTCCAAATGCGTAGGAGTAAGTGTCCAATCTATGAATAGGATCATAAATAATCAGAAATACCAGAAATTTAAATATTATTTTATTACATTGTCAGCTCGTAGGTATAATAAAATCGGCAAAAGCTTTTTGCAACACTCTGCCTCGTCTAGTTACGTTTTAAGTCAAGCATTTATCTTTATTGACTGCTTCTCTTTCTAAACTACTCATATTTTATTTATTGTGATATTTTATAGACTTTGTTCATGTATTTTTACTTCCATATCATGGAAAAGATCTGTGTGTTGGTGAACAAGTAGATATTATATTGTAGTCTATTCAATTAAAAACTACAATGTTGCGAGTATTTTTTCAACTGTCTAAAGATCACCTTCCGGTATCTTTTCCTCAAGCTCTTTGGGGTAAGTGTAAGTCATCCAATCTTGGAATACGAGACAACCAATTCCCTCGATATTCATTTATTGTATTCGTATTCTAGTTTTCTAGAACCTTTAGAGAAAAATGCTAAATACAAAAGTTGTTGATGAGACTAAAAAACCGATTGAAAATTATTTTCAGGTATACAGGATGATTCTTAAATATGTGTATATTTTTAAATGAACACCCTGTATATTATGGCACATTCACTGCACTTAAACTTAGTATTAAATGATTGGGCAGAATAATAATAAAAATAATGATAATAATTGTAATAATAAGAATAATAAGCATTTGCATGGCAAACTTAGATTCGCATGGCCAACTTACATTTGCACTAAAAGATACAATCTAAAAACATTATTTTATAGTTCAATAATATTTTGGGCTTTAGGAATGTTAGAAATTCTAAATTAATGGAAAGAAACGGAACATTTTTATCACAAAATTAAAAATCTACCTATTTATTTATATTTTTCTTGACTGATTGAGAGATTTTCTCATAATTTAACAAACTTTCAACAAGTTTTGTTTGATTTTTTCAAGAAAATTAATATTTTTCAGTTTAACTTGCCTTATATAAACAATTCGAACTAACTTCAAGAAAAGTATTGGATAAATTGCTATACCGATTTGTAAAAGTAAATAAAATAATAATAGTAAAATAAAAATAAAAAAAGGTGTTTTTGACGAAAAAATGGCCATAAATTCGAAAATACTCAGTATAGACCATAACAACCCTACATTGGGTGATTGAGAATAAAAGGGAGTATCTACTAATGCAATAATATAATGTGGGTGATGAATCTCCCTGTATATTCCAAAAAATAATTTCAAATTGTCTCCTTTATAATTATCTACAACTTTTATATTTAACTTTTTTTTTCTAAAACAAATAATAAATGAGATATATTACTTTTTCTGCTCCCTTCTGTAATTACTAATTACACACCGATCTAGCGTGCGCGAAGCGTCACTTTACCGCGTCAGTTTCGTTTCCCATGACTCCGAGTCACTTCGGACATTTCCGGGGATTTTACCGCACGGAAAGTATAGTATACAACACGTTCGGTAAACTTTTTAAGTCACTCGTTTTGCCGTTTACCGTTTACCGCACTTGTTGCATAATATACTATGGACACACTGTATGGAACGATTTGCGAAAATATTTATAATCCTATTATATTTTTACAACTTAATTCCATAATTTTTATTTTATTTTTGAAGATTACAAAAGATTCCACAATCTTTGGCAATGGTATTTTCCTTAGGTAGTCTTCAGATTTTGCAAGTATCCACCAAAAGCATGGTTTTTATTCTTTTATACGGCGGAGTTGAATTTCTCTAGAATTCTTTCAAGTTTTCAAGCCGAGACTGGGCAAATAAATTATATCTCTATTTTCGGTAACTTCTGCTTATTATTTCATTAATTTAAATAAAATACCGTTTCCTGGAATAGAAACCATTTCTCCCTCCAGTTCTGAAAAGGCAGACAGGGCCGGGCCCAGCCCATTCGGCTCGCGCGTCACGGTATGAAATTTGGAAACCTACAATGTTCATACTTTCTGCTGTGGTGTTATGGTTACCGACATATTATTTATTGTTATATTATTTTTCTGCAGGTTCTTAGATTTTGTCCGTATTTGCTAAAATGGGTGTAATCGGCTTTTGTTTTGAACTTGCGAGACTCTAATCCAGTGTGGCTTGAGTAAACCGTGGATATCTAAACTGATGATTTAAGTCTTAAAATTTAACCACAGGAAAGACATGAAAATAACGCCCTTCTTTCTCTCATCAGCATGCGATCGCTTGCAAATTCAGGAACAGGGGCGGCCCCGCGGTGGATCATTGGCTGGACCGTGCAGAGCCAAAATACGGCCAACAACTGGTAGACGATATCAAACGCACTTTGAAGGTTTTAGTCCTTTATTTGCCGCTGCCCATTTTCTGGGCGCTGTACGATCAGCAGGGTTCGGCGTGGACCATCCAAGCCGTCCGGATGGACGGTGACATCGGATTTTACACGATACTCCCGGATCAAATGCAGGTAAATCATATAAAAGGGTACGGATTTTTGGTTTAGTACGTTTTTTTACATAAAGATATTTATTAATTGAGTCCCGATACTTAAGAGTGGGTGATTTTAAGAAGAAAAGTTAATATTAACGTATATCGTGGATATCTTAATTTTTGAGCTACATCTTTAAGGAAAAAGCATATTTTTTGTCATAATTTCCTAATCGCTCTATATATTTGTAAGCAATTTTATACACACATCTTCTTAATCATTTAGGAGTGTATTTGGACGTTAAAGAACTTTTTTTAATTTTCACCACTAACATTCATTCGAGGTTTGAACTGAATATTTTTTAAAACGTCGCCATCTCTATTGACTAGTGCCATGCAATTTTCTCCGAAGTTTTGGGCATGAAACGTGTAGCAGCAAAATTTGTTCCAAAACTATTTAATTTTGAACAAAAGGTCCGTCGAAAGAGCGTCGCTCAAGACCTGTAAAAAGATGTCAATGATGATCCTGATCCTGATATGCAAGTGACGAATCATGGGTATATGGTTATGACTTCGAAACCAAAGCCCAGTCGTCCCAATGGAAAAACACTAATTTTGATAAATAAATAAATACTTTTTGATAAGACTTAAAAGTCACCTTACTTTTTTAACACACCTCGTATCTCAATCATGTTTTGTCATTTCGCATCCCGCCTTAACTTTCACCTTTCTTATGGTCCCCATATTGCATTTTTAATTTTATTGTTCTATTTTTTATTTATACCTATATTAGTTTCCAGATCTCCGATATGCGGTATATCGTTTCCGATATACTATTAGTCCTTTAGACGTAACATTTTAAAAAATTCTTTCTGAACGAGCACCTCCGTACAGGGAAAAAACACCGTCATCGCATTTTTTGATATAAATCCATTCGACACATTTGAAGGTACAGAATTCGAATTTCTTGTTGTAGAAGAAAAGCCCCACCATGCATTAACGTTAATGTTTGTTCATTGTTGTAGTAGTCATAATTAATTAGTAAGAGCTGCTTAAAGTAAGTTCTTTAAACAATGGACAGTGATTACGAGTGTTCAACGAATTCCGATGACGTGGAAAAGGATTCAACTACCAGAAAGAGAAAGAAAACAGGTGGTATGAAAGATGTAATGAAGGTATTAAAGAGCAGAAAGCCACGAGCTCGGTCCAGATTGTTTTTGCAAAAAATTGGGATGTTTTCAAACAGTTGCCAAAATAATAATTGCACAATTTAATGAAAGGGACAATAATAAACAAAATAGCTATATAGTTATACATCTATCTATGTGAAGTGCTGCCGGTCTAAAGAGGCTCAAACAAGATTCATCACATCTTGATTAGGTTATCGACTTTTGGCGCCTCAAGATGGTGTAGTCAGTGATTTAAAAGCATTCATATCTATTCATGGTATCTCAGAAATTAAAGTGAGATAAATCGGAAACTCTCTTGTTCCTATTGGAAAAGCACCTACAAGCGCCACAAGTTATCAGAAGAAACGCTGACGAAAAAGAATATATTTTGCAAGTCGCCGAAAGGAAGAAAATCCCACTACTCGCATGAGGATTCTCAAAGATTGGGAGTTCAGAAAAAGATAGTAGTCGTTTTATTTGGATTTTTTCTATAAATATCGAGACATTAATATAAATTTTTTTGAAGTATTTTGCTTGATTCTGTTGTTATTCAAACAATATTGGTCTCTTTACTTTAAAAGGTAAACCTTAAAATCGATTCTCCTCAAAATCAATGTTCATGCAATGACAGAGTTTTGGGCCTGTAACCTTCAAGGGTGATATATTATATAGTACCTTGCCTATCGTTGTTTTATTCACTGAGAATACGTGCGGAACGCCATAGGCACGTTTTCCAATTAACTGACATTTTTCCTCTGCTGCAGGTGGTCAACCCTTTGCTAATCATAGGATTTATACCCCTCTTCACGTATGCGGTCTACCCGGTGTTGGCGAAATGTCGCCTGGTTCGTTCGCCGTTGCAGAAAATGTGCGCGGGAGGGTTTCTCGCAGCTGTCGCGTTCGTCGTCTCAGCCTTGGTCGCCATAGCCTTGGAGAAGGGTTACCCGACCTTGCCCGGCGCCGGTGAAGTGCAGCTGAGGATTTACGACACGACGAGGTGCAGATACAGCTTCTCGACAAACATCGGTCTCAGCTCTTCCATCGACATGAACTACTACGTGAACAAATCCATACCCGTAAGTGGCGACGTCAATGTAGATTTCACCTTCGACCCTATTTCCGTCACGGAGACTTGTCCACAACGGAATCTGGTGGTGCCGATGACCGAAATGAACGCCTATGGGCTGTACATCAACTCGAAGGGGGTGGCATCCTTCACCGATATGGTGGAGAAAAGCGACGACGGATACCCTAAAATCAGGTTAGTGCTCCTCCCGCAATGAACTATAGGAAAGACTCTAGACTTACGAGGGCAGCCCCAAAATTTTCCGGTCTAAATATGAAAGAAACAAATTTTTTTATTATTTTTCGATATTTTTTCAATTATTTTTTAATATAACTCAATCCCTTTAAAAAAATATTCTTTTGGTTTGTCTGCAAAATGAGCTAAAACTCAACTTCGTCGTTAAACCGCCGTCCACGTAAGTCCTTTTTCAAATATCCAAACAAATAATAGTCGCTGGGGGCCAAATCTGGACTATGGGGAGGATGATCTATCTGTTGAAACCCACACTCTAAAATGGCAGCTTGCGCAACACCAGCAGTATGGACAGGTACATTATCGTGCACAAGACGCACGCCTCTGGTCAGTTTTCCTCGACGTTTTACACGTATGCAGTATCGCAATTTATGTAATAATGTTGGGTAATATTTACCAATGACAGTGGTATTAGTTGCTTTAAAATCTATCAAAAGAATTCCTTCACAATCCCAAAAGATCGTGGCCATCACCTTTTTTGTTGACTGGATTTTCTTGGAGGTGCTTCACCCTTACGACGCTACTCCATTGATTCTTTTTTCGATAGAGGGACATAATAGAGAACTATAGTTTTATCTCCCATCACAATAGTTTCTATCACAGGTTTCGGTTCGGACCCACAGAGTTCCAAAAAAGACCGCGCACACTCGACACAGGGTTGGTTTTGAATAGCCGAAAGGTTTTTAGAAACGCATCTTGCATGATCATGCAGGATTCGACGAACACTTGTATCAGAAAGCTTAGTCATTTCTGAGATTTCCTTGACTTTTAAACGTCGATCACTCAATACCATCTCCTCCACAATCGCAACATTATCTTCCGTTATGACCTCCACTGGTCGACCAGTTCTTTCACTACAGAATACGAAGGAGAACTTTGGCCATACACACCATCCAGCCTTTCTTTAATAATTTTAGGTGCTAACCCTTCTTTTATCAAAAACTTTATGATTGCTCTATACTCAATTTGCGTTATTTGCGACATTTTTTCGGACACGCCTTGTTTAAAATGCTGTCAATAAAAAACTATTGGACGCAAGACTTCAATTTTTGTTTCGCAGCCTACTAAGATATATATTTAAAAGAAGACAAAGTTTTATCGTGATACTGGAGCTGCATCTATGTTAGGGCGGGAAGTTTTGGCACCAACCTCGTATAAATTCATAATAGCACATTAAAAATCGTCGCTGGACTGGCCAAGTTAGTCGCGCGTAGCACGAAGTAGCTTTGTATTTCAAAAAGAAAGAAATCGATGTAACTTTATTGTGCCCTGTATAAGGCGTCTTTCACCTCTCACCGAACTTCAAAGTCACGGCAAACTTTGAGAAATATAAAAATTTGTACAAATGATAGCGATTTCCAAATGGTTTTCGAGAAAATATTTTTTTTTCTGAAACCATGCACGCTTGTACGCTTTGACATGGCCATACCGGCAGTATAAACACCTAAAACTTTATTTAACGTTTCAACATATTGTACAGGGTGTTCGGGAAATTTCGTGCTATAGTATAAAATATGTCTTAAATGTGCAGCTATCGATTTCAGGCACGTAAAAGTCCATACCCACTTTTAAAAATTAGAAGCTCGACGCAATCAAAAGTGGCGAAGTATTTTAAAACATTTTTTTCTTAAGTTATATTTGCTTCTAGAAAAATATATTTTCCTCAAAAACTCCCAACTCTCTCAAAATTAAATTCTTGAACCAAAATACGCGGGAGATCCGGGGTTATAACTATTATTTCGGGTGTTTTTTCGATTATATACAGAGTTTTTTTCAATTATATATAAAAAGACCCTGAAAATTGTTCTTTCCCATTCATTTATTCATGAAATTGATTCATTCATAAATTCATAAAAAATATGGCTACTTTTTTTTTGTATTTACGGTTTTCGTCAAGTCTATCACCTTTCTTGCCGTCATTGTAGATGCGATTTAGTCATTTGCTATTACGACGTACTGAATGGTTGCAGAAAACAAGTCTTTTATCGAAACTCATTTACTCTTTTGGAAAAATTCATATACCAGGAAACGTATAAGTTCCAGGGATATAATTTTTACTTCTAACATTGTTTGAATTATATACAGGGTGTGTCGTTTTTGTTGTTAAATTATTGGATGTAAATGAAAAACTGTTAAAGATGGGATAATTTGGTTTGAGCAAGATCGTAAGCTGTGTCAAGAGAGAGTTTCAGTTTTCGTCATCATACAGGGTACGGGGAATATTACACAAATCTTTATATTTATCAGTTTGCCCTAACTTTGTAGTTCTGTAAGACGTGCCAGACACTTTATACAGGGTGCATGCACAACAAAATTACATCGATTTTGTGAACATTCCATAATGATCCGCAGGAGCACGATAGAAAAAAATCCCTCTAGGCTGCGTTTCGCATAGTGCGGACCACACAATTCGCACAGCTGCGATTTTTCGAAAGCAATCTTGTTTAATTGTAGCATCGAAATAAAATTCGTGGGATGAATGAAACAGACTTATACTATCCTTGCAAGTAAAAACAAAACAGGCATCTAATACTTTTTACAAAGCTTCTGGATTCCTCCTGCGTCGGTTTTTGCTGAGTCGAAATTGCTGACGGTCCGCCAATCATCCTGTTGGCTTCTTCAGAGCTTGACTGAAGCTGAAACTGTAACTGAAGTTGTTTATGTGAACAGCCACGGAAGTCAGCAAAAATTACATATCAAAAATTTAGACAATCGGTATTTTTAGACGAAACGTGGACATTTTCCAGTAGCAGTAGTTCCAAATCTTGATAAGTTGAGTCTGTAAAAAGCGTGAAAGAAAAATATTTTGTTGCTGCTTAATATTGTTACTAACAACACGACGTTTTGCCTAGACTTCCTGCTTGGGGTAAAAGTTGCGTACTTGAGCATGATGCGCTGAAGTCACCAAAATTAAATTATCAGAGTTATATGTTCTAAATATAATTAAATTTATTTTCATTACAAAATAGGATACATTTTTGAAGGTTTCGTTTCTGTTATTCTGATTTCTTCTAACCTGTTTTTTTTTCTCGAAAACTCCAGTAAAATCAGTTTATTTTTTTAAATTTTTTTATTATTTAAAATTTAAATGTTGGTAGTAGAAGTTTAAAATTAGGACACCCTCAACAAATCTCAACAAATAAAATGAGCGAATTGCGAAGTAAATCATTTTGAACACTACAACTTTTGTATTTTTTTAAATTGTAAATAATAGTGCTGTTAGGTAAATACGAAAATCAGAGAATTAGGTTTTTCTAAAATATTTTTTAGTCCACATCCGCTAAATCTTTCATGATGCGTCACTGTTGTTAATATCAGGATAAGAGATACAATTTGCAGATTTTTATTTTTCCTTCTTATTTCTTTCTGATCAAACGATTATCCTCCGTCTCTAACATATGGTTCGCAATTAGCGGGATTTACTGGATTTATAAACCATAATATATGGTTCTCAGGATAGTAAACGAGTTGACTGTTAAGACGTATACTACAGAAAAATAATACACATGCATTTTCAGAAATAAAATGAACCGCTATAACTTTTTGGTTTAATCCTGTACCCTTATGTATACTCATTGGGGCACAACATTTTCGAAAAAAATCCTGTTCCATAAAAACTGGTGTTCTTGCCCGCAAAAGAGTCGAATCAAATGGGACAAATTGTGCATTTTTTGACTTTCAAATTTCGGCTTACTCTGCCAAATTGAGAACTATTTGCATTGCAGAACGTTGATAGATAACAACGCAACCGAGTTGGTTTACCGGCACACGAAGAAAGATTACCAGTTAACCGTAGAATCTGGAAATACCTCGCTCAAATCCCTGCCTTATCCCGGCACTTATAGAATCGAAGGTTCCTTCGAAGAAATTGAAGTTACCGCCAAGCTGGGAGGCACGTACACAGTTTTAATTAATCAGGTAAAATTTCTTGCTTTTCCGCTAGAACATGTACTACGTTTTACTGCTTCTTCAGGAAGCCGAAGTATACTCAGTCTACACGGTAACCGAGCCCAACAACGTAAACATGCTACTGCTGCTACCCCAGTACATCATCATAACTGCTGCGGAAATCATGTTTTCCATTACCGGCTTGGAGTTCTCCTACTCCCAAGCGCCGTCCTCGATGAAATCGGTGCTGCAGGCGTTATGGTTGCTCACAACTGCATTCGGTAACCTCATCATCGTCGTCATCGAGGCCATTTTGCATTTCGACAAACAGGTAAGATGAATTTTATATTAACTTTGTCTCAAAATTTATCTGGAATAACCAATAGATAATTTCTTGTTGTCTTTAAGATGAAGTTATCCATATCTACTATTGCATCAGCTGAACGATATTTTATCATTCCACAGATCAGTTTTCAAAAACATCCAAAGTCCTTTTTCGCTTCCAATATGGACTATTATCAGTCTCTTAACTTTTTTTGAACGTACCTTAATACCCGTTGATGGGCACTGGTTTTTATTTTGTACACCTAATCAAGATACTGTTATATGTGTCCGAGGTATTTACAATAGGGTTCAAATTTTGTGCACCAAGTAACTGCTAGAAAATGGTTATAAATGTTAGAACCATCATGCGCAACTATGGGGGTACTATATGATGCGATGGGGAACACATAAATTGTAAACTCCATTGTAACTTTGATTTTCTTATTACGTTAGTCTACCGATTTTTTCGTGTACGCCGGTCTGATGGTAGTGGACGTCTTTATCTTCATGTGGCTGGCAATCAGGTACCAGTACGTCGAACCAGTGACGAGCGTAAGTGATCTCGATGTCAGCGAGCAAGCGGAAGGGGAAAAATCGAAAGAACTGACGAACGGTATCGACAATCCCACGTTCAATAACAACACTGCAAACTATTAGTAATACGGTGTGATAATAGATAAAATATTCAGCCAAATCTAGTCATGATTCGAGCGTTTCGAAGAAAAACTATCTTTTCATCAACGAAAATTCGATTATTTTTCTTTGTAACGCTCCCAATCATCAATCAATTAAAAGCTGTAGGTATTAAGTTGGTAACATTTATTCGGTCGTCCTGGCTTCCTGAGATTATACCTATCGGTTGGTATTGAAAATGAATAGTGACGATCTGCAGTTTTATGAGATCGAGAACGATTCAACAAAAATGGTTTTAAAGTAAGAAATATTTCGATAAGGATCCTGTACTGCAAATGCACGATTCAACTGATAAAGTACTTAGCGATTTACCGTATTCTTAGAAGTTTATTTTTTTAAAGCGGAACTAACCAAAACTGACCAAATCATTTCAATGCAAATCTATTGTACGTAGACTTGCGCAATAAAATTTTTAAATAAATGGTGCGATTCGTTTTATTTAATTGTACTCCCTATAACAACAAGACGTGGAGGTCAAAAAAGAAAAACCGAGTAACAATTTATCGCCTTGTATTTCGTAAAATTCAAAAAAATCCAACAATACGATTGACGAAAAGTGAACAATCGAGTTAATTTTCCTTAGATACTCACTTCGTATATGTAAACTGGCAGTTGGTGAGATTTTGGATTTAAGGTTTGAGGTTAACGTACGTGTGCAGAAATATGAAAGGAAATCACTTTATTAGAAACAACTAAACAATATATATTATTATAAAAAAATTAAAAATACAAACTCCAATAAACAAAGTAAACAAAAATATAAACTCTTCGAAATAATTATAACGCGAATTAATAAACTAAAATAAATAATTATAAAAATACAAAATCAAAAGCATCAATAGAAGAACAAATTTAAGTTAAGTAAGAGTTTGAAAAAAAACTATAAATTCTCATTTATTTCTTTTACAATAACTCTAGTTTTGGTTTGTTTGAGATAATAACAAATTGTCAAAAATGTAAATTTTGAACATCGAAATATATTACACTCGAAAGGGCCTTGTCTACAAATACATTCGTCCAAACTTTTTAAGCTTCATCCTCTGTCAAAGTCAATCCACCCCAATGTTCCAATGTTTTAAACCACCATCAACTTCAATTTTCCTTTTGCAGTTTTAAATGCTATCTCTTTTTTCTCTTTGATTACATATTACAATTTGTCCTCGTAGTTTCAACAATCCAAAATATTAAAGAAAATGTACGACTTTCTCTGTTGTTAAGAAAATAATTCATTAATGAACAAAATATCTCAGTGTTTAAGATACATTTTTAAAGAGTATATTAACTAATGTATAATACATGCAGTGTTTTCTTGTAATTGTCATGGAGAACATTTTAAGCATCTATTGGGATTTATTGTTAATGTTTTAGTCATGTGTTTTTTGCCAATTTTGCTTATTTTAAAAGGCTCTTAAATCGACGAATATTTTCCGATTAAATATCTGAAAAGCGATTCAAAACATGAACTGTCGCTATCGTACAATTTCTTTAATAATTATTATTTTTGAAACTACAATGATAACTTATCAAAGGTCTAAAAGCACTATTCAAAACTTATTAATTCAAAATTAAAGCAAACGATGACAAAAGTTAAAGATTTTAGTTTGTGTGTGACCTTTAATTAAATTGAGGGCAATTTAAAAAAGTTCACAATCGCAATAGTTTACTATTCAATTGCCGCTTCATGAATATCAGAATGGAATTGAAATCACAAATTAACAAGTTAGGCAGTTTAGTCCAAACCAAAATATATACTTATAAGATTAATAGTCCCAATAAGGTTTCAGTACACGGTTATTATTTGACAATTCCATAGTAGGAGTGTCTAAATATCATTCTACAATTCAAATTTAATCCTAAATGATACCACAACAGGAGGAAGACATGCACGTTTTTAAAGATTATAGGTTATATTTTCATTTACAATAAAATACTCTAACTCGTTGTTTCATTTCCAATACTTCCAAAGTAGTAATAATTAAAAAACGCACAAAAACTGAAACGTCCACAAAAATTGGAATTGGGAATGTTTCATATCACTCAAAGTTGACTTTGAAGCTGCTTCGTGGCGAAACGTGCCAGTGTGAAACAGGCTTTTATAAGTACGATATAGGTATTAATCACTCCCCTTACTGAGGTGCTTGGCAATCTTGTGCCTGGCTAATTTGCTTTTACTGACGACCATGTAGCTGCAGCTATCGCACCGATAAATCCTATTCGTGACCATCTTCATCAAATTCGCATCTCGCGAGTGTTTATTTACGATATGCGAGTCCAGGCTCTTCTTCTCGTTGAACCTCTTCGAGCATCTTCTGCACTCGTGGGGCAAAACGTTGGCGGAAACGTGAAGCCTTACGTGCTTCACCAGCGAACCTTTCTCGCCAGTGGCGTACCGGCAGTGAAAGCATTCGTATCTCTCGCCGCATACGAACCTCCCGCCCTCACGATGCGTCCTCAAATGGCGAGTCAGGTCGAGTTTCTTCACCGTACGGTAATCACAACGCGTACAGTCGAATACCTGCGACTGAATTCGGTTTAAAGCCTTTTGGTCGCATCGGTGGCTGTTTAGGATGTGCATCTCAAACTCCCGTCTGCTTTTTGACGTCGCGGCGCCGCAATACTCGCACAAATACGCGGAGGATGTTTCGTGGCGGTGCCGGACTAGTTTGTCGGGGAACCCTTCGACGCTGCACTTTGCGAACCGCACGTACCTCAAGTACGATTCGTCTTTCGGAGTCAGGATGCCGTATTTGAAAGCAAAAAACTCGGCTTTCGTTTCTTCCGCGGATTCCTTCTTAGCTTGGATCAGGTTGATGTTTAATACCGAATCCGGTTTGACATCGGGTTTTTGGTCGGTCCTGCGGAAACAGTACGGTTCCTCCTTTATGACGACATCGTAGGTTTGTCTCTGTTCCTGGTACATTATTACTCCTTTATATTGCGGAAGATTGTGAAAATCTAGAAAATCGGTTACAAAAAAAATCATTTCCCTAAGATTTTGTCCACGTAGTTTGCGACGGTGTACTAATAATGGCCATTTTATTCGACATCTGGAAAGGGAAGATATCTTATTATAATTTACGTCGAGTTCCTTTAAAATCATTTTGTCTTGCCAGTTGTGAGTACATTGTTTCATGGGACAATAATGTACTAGAGAAGTCCACTAATGAACATCTATACATTTTCGAGGGATGACTATTTATAGGTAGGCATCAGAGCCGCGCGTACCTATAAGCAATCTAATAGACGATTAGTGGATTTTTATCAATGACTGACCCAAATACAAATCAAAGTAATATTTCTCATTTAATATCTGTTTTAGAACAAATGTTAAATAGAAAAGTTATAGATAAGACTAAAACTAATTGACAATTATTGTCAAATATAGGGTGACTCATCATGTAGGAATCAAACTTATATATTTTAAAATAGAACAAACTGTGTATTATTGCGTTACTCTCAATGTTGGGTTGTTATGGTCTATACCGGATTTCGGATTTATGGACATTTTTTTCATCAAGAATGCCTTGTGTTTAACACTCTATCCTATACTTGTCTTTAAGTTAGTACGAACGGTTTATACAGGGTGAGTCAAAATGAAAAATATTATTTTTCGTTAAAAGATCACATTAAACACTTGCCCCTATTAACACTCTTTCACTTTTATTAATCATTCCCTATACCTAAACTGTAATAAGTAAATTTTTAGTATTCTAAAATAAATGGCTTATTTTTTCTTTTTGTTTTTTCATAAATAATTTCAGAACGCGTCTTATAGTCTCTTTAGTAGTCTTTAAACGTATGGAGTGATATAATAGCAAATAACATTTAAGACCTCATTTTTTTATAAACACAATGAATGGGGAAGTTTACTTAGACATTTTAGAGCAGAGTTTGCGAAGTGAGGCAGAGAATGTGGTTCCTTGGTGATGGAGTTCCTGCACACCATGCCCATCAAGTTACGAACTACTTCAATAATTTATTTCCTCAACGATGGATAGCAAAAATGTGATCCGATAAGATCTCGTGATCTAACAAAGATGGACTATTTTCTGTGGGGATATGTTAAAGACCAATTGTCCCTACAACAAAATAGGACATGTAACAAAGGATAAGAGAAGCCTTTCAAAGTGTATACTGCCAAATAGCTTAAAGACCGTGTTAGAGCGTGTATGGAAGTAGGTGGGAGAACACTTCGAGAGAAATAAAGTAAAACCAAATTAAATAGTTCTTTTTTGTTTTGCAGTTTTGTCCTTAGTCTTTAAATGTTTTTTGTGGAACTATTCCCAATATTAATATTGCATTTTTCATGTTAGGATAGGATTAGATTAGGTATATATGCTTAATAAAATTGAAAAAAAAATAGGTACTAATCAATGGAAGTTAATATATTGGGTGTTCCATTTGATTTTTTCACAAAAATTAATATTTTTTCGTTTTCACCCATCCAGTATAAACGATTCGAAGTAACTTCAAGACAAATATAGGAAAGTGCGTAAAAAATATAGGGCAGTTTTGATAAAAAAATGACCATAAATCCGGAAACACTTAGTACAGACCATAACAGCCCTACATGGGATGATTGAATATAAAAAATATATATAACATTATTCTCTAAAACAAATCATAATACCATTGACACACTATTTGGACACCCTGTATGTCCATCAGTGGACATGCCATGTATTTCTAAAGTTGTGTCATAGGGACTGTAAACGGATGTCCATGGGACATCCATAGAGGCAAAATGAACATCCTTTGTACCTTTAGCTGTCCACCTACGTGCGTAGTATTATTTTGTGCTACACAGGATCTATATTTCCAACAATATATCCCTTTGTCACATTAACAAACAGTGATGATATTGATATTGATATCTTAATAAATAAAACCAAATGATAATTGTGTTTTTTGTATAGGATGTTTATGTATTTTTATTATATAACCATTGTTCGTTTGCTTTACTAGTTTTGAGAGATTTACATTGATTTTTGCTTCGTTTGTGTAAATGATAAAAAGTCTAGTTCCTTTAGATTATAAGAAGCGACCTCACTAGTGTATTCGATACCCCTTTTTAAACGATTTTTATTGATTCATTCAAATATGTCATGTTAAATTAAATTAAATATAATGTGGACGTCCAGCTAATAAAATTAACATCTTAAAAACTCCCTTATTAAGCTTTTTGAGTAATCTGAGGTCCAATTATGGTGCGTTTTATTTCGTTGACAATGCGAATAAATTTCCTTTCAAAGTAAACTCTGGTGTCTTCATGCACAATAAAATACAAAACAGTAAAATGTTGTTGCATGCTCTATGGTGATATAAATAACAACCCATGCAGCATTCAACAACGGACGTCCAAATCTCTAACAAACGGACGTCCATGGAACATCCATAGAATATGGACATCGTGTATATACAGTTACAGGTGTCCATAGTACTAGACGTACATAGTACCTAACCTACACTACCAAGTACTAGTTGTGCTGTATAGGTTAGAGCAAAATGAAAAGTGGTTGTTTCAAAAATCTGAAATATTTTGTAATTTATATCACCATAGAGCATGTAACATTTTAATGTTTTGTGTTTTATAAGACACCCGATTTATTGTTAAAATTTAAATGGGAAATTGTCAATGAAACGAAACGCACGATAATTGGTAGAGTAAAAAATCCAATGCAGTTTCCACTCAGCACCGAGTCAACTTGAATTAAAGTAGCGGAAAAAAATAATTAAAAAAAAAGCGCCTTTATGATTAATCGTGCGGTTAGTTTTTTTCTCGTACGTATAATATGTGCACTTTAAAGTTTAACTGTTTAATTTTTATACAAAATAAAAAATATATTATAAACTCACCTTTTCAGCTAATTAAAGAATATTCAAGGAATGATGCCAGTTGCTCGGCAACCAGATAAAGACGGCCGAATCAATTTCGAATTTAGACAGCACATTTTACACCAACCCCCCAATCAACTGCGCAATTATTTCGGTACATGCGCATTTTAAAATTAATTGTGATGACGTTTTCTGTGTTGTACTTGAAGATGCAAGTATATGGAGAGTATCAAAATAAACAAATTTATTAAGCAAAGCTACGCAACATTGCTGATTTTGATTTAAGTGAGCTGTATCAATCGCCAGTGAACACTTAGTTCTGTTAAAAATGAGTTTAAAAAAAGAAAAAGATCTGCAAATGATCTGCAGTTTGAATTGGAAAAATGAAAAACCCGAAGGTGCGCCAAGTTTGATCGGTTTGTACGACATTCCTGCTACAACTTTAAATTGGGAAGTTTTCAAGTCCTACCTGGTAAGTATTGTGTTAAGTATTGTTTTCAAATTATCTAATTGGGTGAACTTTGTTGTTTTTTGAGCATACAGATGTTTTGGACGCCATTTTGTATTCAAATTATTCCTATTTTAAAACTACGCAATAAAGGAAAAATTTTCCATGATTTTTTTGTGTGTAGCAACTAGGGTGTAAGGATATTAGGCAATAAACTTATTGTTAATTTTGTAAACGGATTGGTACATCAAACAGAAACAAGTTAAAGCTACAATATACTTATATATTTTCAGCTAAAACATTCTGGTACCACAGGGCATGATGTTCAGGTGTCATACCTTGTAAAAAAAGAGGAATATCCAATTAACTCACAGAGTGATTTCCAAGTGGCCCTTTATATGTTTCGACGTAAAGCCCGTGCTGGGGAAACCATAAATTTTTTGCTAGAAAGGCAATCTAACCAACCAACTCATAAAAATTTACGTCACTCTAAGGATGTTGAAACTCAATTCGATAATAATGATAAATCTGCATTCATAACAACATGTTGTAGAGCCGAAAGCCCCCCAGAATGGTTCTTGCAATGTTTGGCCCAGGTGAGTAATACAAGTTTTTGAATAATAAGAACAAATATAGATCCAATATGTGTTTTAGATAAGTACAAAGTTTAAAAATATCTGATTAATAACAGCAAATAAGATATGAATCATCACAATATGTGATAATGTAATTTTTCAGTCTGAAGGTTATCTTAAGTGCTACAACTTGCAAAACACTGTCCAATGACCAGTTGCAACGTTTTCTGCTGAAAACTATCTCAAACTTTGACCTTTATTTTATTGTAAATCGCAAAGCACCATCGATCAGTTACCAGTTCAATATATAACTGAGAAACTTTTGCAATGGTGCAAAATTAAATAGCATTGACCAGCATGTTTTCAGTTTTTTGTATTGAAAACTATCTAGAACTCTGCCACATGTATCTATGAAACAATTTTATTGTGCAATTTCGTTTTTATTTTTGGTATTTCTTTAGTGAACCATATTTTAAACACTATAAATTGCAAAGCACTATTGATCACTGACCAGTTTCTTATGTAATTGATAAAATTTTCACTCTAATAACACGCCAATTTAAAAGACACTTCCAATCAATTGAGTAAAGAAAGGAACAACTGTACAGCATTGCTGGATCTCTTCTGTCATAGACCATTAGTTATTTGACAAGCGATTGTTTGTCCAGAAGCTTCCCCGTAACATTGCGAGTTCCTCAAATATCTCTTTTATTTAAGTTTTGATGATGACATTTCTACTTGTTTTTTTTTAATCCTTTACTCAGGTGTCAAGTATTTCTTACTGCTATGAATCGATTGGTTTAGCTGTGTTTGCTGAATTGGTATGGAACTAAACAGAAATCTTGGTCCAAATATTATCACATTCACATTCAAAAGGAATTCTGTGTAGGCTGATTCAAGTGTTATCATCACTTGCCTTTGTCATTTTGTGCTCCATATCCATTAGGCCCTGCAAACATGATTTTCTTAAAATATTATAATATTGTCTGGTGTGGTGATCCTTATCACACTAGAGGACCATGATCCTTGTATTGAACAGGTTCATTTCAAGCAGTAGGTATTTTTAAAACAATTTTACTTATTTATTTATTCGTTTATAACTGACCCCAAAACAGTGTTACAAACAAACAAAAACAATCGGAGCGTTAGATTACAATCAAAATAAAACAATTATATAATAAGCTTGGTATTTTATGTAAATCTTTTTAAATTGAAATTACTGCAAATCTACTTTAATTTCTGACAAAATAGTTTTATTGTTTTTGCTTCATCACTCACTTTTGGTATAGAGTTATAAAACTGAATAGAGCTATATAATGGCGATGTTGGTACTTTAAGAGATTCTGAAAAATTAGTTCTAAAGTCACTTGCACTACGTGTGTTATGATGATGTATTTGTTACACTTGCCTTATACTTAAGTTACTTTTTTACAGTTTATGCTTGTTCAAAAGTTACTTTTTTTTTGTCCCATGTTTTGTGTTGTTTCATACCCTATTTCGGTTGAAGTGAGACGGTTGATTTTAAATATGGTTTTTAAGTAGCTTATATGAAGTGCAACGAAACCATTATAAAGTAAAAATCGAGATTTTTTTGTTTAAACTGTCTGTACACTGTTTTATTGCACCAAGGATAGGAGCAGTTCATTTATAATTTTGTACTTTTTTCAGTTTAATATTGTTCAGGAACAAGTTTATATCACAGTTTTGATTATTTTATTATTTATAAATAACTCATTGTAACACAGCCACCTGTACTAACTATTTAACTCCTCGTTTGCATGTTTTTCCAGTTTTTTTTCTTTGTTGCTGACAGAACTAGTACTGTATCTTCAGCTGGTCCTTAGTATTGAAGGTTATGTATATACAGTATATACTGGAGAGGTCCAAGCGCCGACCCTTGGGCAACACCTACAGCAAACGTTTTTTTTTTTTTTACTTTTTGATTTGTTTATTTGTGTGTAGTGTTTACGGTGTTTTGGTTATTGGATGCAGGCACATAGATCTGATACTTTTGTTCTGTGTGGTCAATTCTGTGGTAGAAACTTGCCAAAATTTTCATCATAAGAAGTACATTGAGAGCTTTTATGCTGGAAACTCCTTTTTATTACTTTCTAATATACTCTTCCTTGTTTCTTATGTTCTTAACGTCTAGTTACACTTTTAAATTGAAAACCAAGGTCAAATTTACTACTGACAATTGTGACAGACTTCGACGTGTTGTGAATAATTCATATTGCAGCTTAAAAAAGAAATAACAGAGGATGTGACAGCGAACGTTTCGGGTGTGGTTTCCACTGCACTGGCTGGAGTCAAGCCGCAAATTGTCAACCCGCCCAACTGCTATCATCACTCCCGTAAGTCCAAGACTGAGAAGAGACTGCGAAAACTGAACCCTCATTTGGTGGATTCCAATACCGAGTATGTACCTTTAGTAAATCGTTTTGGTTGGTGTAACGCAACTTTGCAGCGCTAAAGATCTAATCAAGTCGCTGAAATTGGACAACAAGCTGGAAAAGTTGGAGCGTAAAGCCACCAAATATAAGGAGAAACGGTTCGCCCTCTTTTCGGCAGCCAAATCGAGTGATAGCGAAGCGGGTCACTCGAGTAGCCGCAGCAGATCCCACGAAAAAGAAGACAGCAGAATGGGCGCTCAGCCGGTAAACGTCCAAGAGGTTGTGCCCCACATGTTGGGAGGAGAAGTGTACCTGCACAAGTGGGAAGTTATCAATACCGGTGAAATAGCTTGGTCTTCCAAAGTGAGTTTTGTACATGTAAATTTCTCCATTTTGATTTGAGCACAATTTTTAAATGAAATTCTACATGAGGCTTTTCTTCCTATCTTATTTAATTTCGAAATGCATGCAAGCCCATAAAGAAAAATAATAATGAAATTGTTGTCTTTTGCATAAAGGAAACAATATTCTCACGTAATAATACTAGGGTATAATATTTGAAAATGAAATTTATTTTTTGTCTGCATGCACATGTATTTGCTGAACTTTTGCGACAAAATTTAAGGTTAAATAGGGCTTACACGATAGATTGTTAAAAAAATTAAGGGCGTAACATCATCCCCTGATAAACAAAGACAAATTTAGAGCAGACACACACACGATGCATAATAAAAGAAATAATGTGTATTAGCTAAATTATTTTAATTTTAACTTTAACTTAAAAAATACTTTTGAAAATCCTTTTAAAAAGTTGTTGGTCAAAAAGACTACTTTTGTGTATTCTATGGAGTGCATGCAGGAAAAACGTAAGTATACATATTATTGTCAAAATTTTAATCAAAGCATGATTAAAATAACGAAAATAATTAAATTGTTGACCTTTCTACAAAGAAAAGAATATTCTTGCATAAGATGCTAGGGTATACTTTTTGAAAAAGTGTTGGTAAAGGAAATCAGAGTAATTTTGTGAATTATATATTAGATGTTAATCAAATTTGGTGTTTTTCACTATTGGTAGGATTATGAAGCATTTATTCAAAAATTTAAGTCATCAACATTTTCTCGGTAAGGGAGCTTTGGAGGAAAGTCTTAATTTATGTTTTTAAGTGCTTGCGTGCCGAGTTTAGAGCAACGGGAGTTCAAGAAGAGTAAGAGAAGGAAAAATGTAAACACTGTTAGGTCATAAAGCAACGCACGTGGTTTTTAAAAGACAGTTTGGTATCACGTTACATCCAAGTTTTTAAAAGGGTCACATTTTAACAATGCCTTAGCCAGGTGATAATTAAAAGTTACAGCGTCAGCATCAACACATTGTGAAGTGTTTATCTGTATTCAGAGGTGTGTTCTTGTGGAAGCACACTAAGAACCAGTAGTCTCCGAATCATTAAGCAGAAATAGTCAGTCACACTATAAATTGTAGTAAACTGTAACGGGTTCAATTTGTCATTGGGTACTTCGACTTATGTTTCTCACATGTAGGTTAATAATGCTCGGAGACTACCTATCGAATGTTTTATTCTCACAATTATACACTGTCTTAATCATCAAAACTACTTGTATTGCTAATTATTCTTCACTACTTCATTCTGTTCGAACACACTGTAACTGCTTAATTGCTTGGTGTGGTTTGCCTGTCCTAAAATAAATGTAAATAAGTGTAAGCTCTTGCATTTTTGCTGCAATTTAGGATGTTACTGCGGAATGCGGTTGAGTTGCACGAGACGATCGTCCTGTATTCCTTCTTATTTTCGAACTAACGGCAGTTCCTATTCGTGTCCCTTGTCTTCATTTATTTACACTTGTTGCTTTTTGGAGAGGTTATATTTCAATCCTGTGTCAACGCGAATGCACCCGACCATTAGTACAGTTAAGCACTCGATCTTTGGCCCACGTTCGTCTTCGATTTTCTAAGACCTTGCTGTGTAATCTCGTTCAAGTGTGTGTAATAATTGGTTTTTATTGATAGTAGCGGGTAGTAGTTAGGTATATTTGGCGTTGATTAGCTCCTGTCTTTATTGGCCCATTGACCCTAGTGATGTCGGAACCTAACATCGTGCTGCCAGCATCATCGGTCTTCCTTTTGTTTTGGCTGTTCCATTTCCGCCAGTCCAAGTGGTTGCAAGATTTCAATCCGAATAAGTTTGTGGCATCTCGTAGTTTCCGAGGATTAAACCGGATTGAAATCGTATAGAAGTTGCGGATCGTCCTTTTGTTGGTAGTATTTCTCTTGGACGTCCCCAACATTACAGCTTAGGCTGGCTTAAAGCTAACCAACCTAGCACCTGGCACACTTCACCGCCACCCACGGTCATCAGGCGGTTTTGGTTTTTCTTTTGGTACCGGTTTTTGATTGTTGGTCTGGTTTTGGTTTCCCATTTGGTACCGGGTTCCCTAGTTCCGGTTCATTTGGATTTGGTGCCTCTTTCCCTTCGTGGACGGCACGTGTTTTGAATTCTGCAACCCAAGAATTACCGAGTCTTCAAGTTAGCTCGGTTCCAAGAGTGATAAGCATTCGTGCCTATCCCACTGACTGGTGAATCCTTAGGCAGTATACAGAACAGCTGTCCTAGAGCTTGCACCACTCGTTCGTTGTTGGTAACTGGAGGATCACAGATAAGCCCATTTTATTTACGTTCCGGTTAATTTTATGCCTATTAAATACAAATTTCAATTTTTAAACATCAATATAAATTAAAGAGCTCAGTTAGGGTAAAGATAAAGTACAATTATAGAAACATTTTTTTTTGTGATAATTATTTGTAAACGATCTATCCTAACCAAGCTTTCTGTGTTTATGGTGTACTTAAGTATTTGACGTATATTCAGCTTCCCAGCTTGGAACTCCTGGTCTAATGTATTTTCCTTATATTCTGTGATTGAGAATCTGGTGCAGTAGCCAATATATGGAGATTTAAACTGACGTGCCTGTCTTATTTATTTATTATTCATTTGCCTAGAACTTTGTTAACTTTGTGAGTTTGTTTGGTGACTAGTGAGCTAGGACACTAGTCATAACCACTAAATTATAGTATAAGTTGGGGTATTGTCCTAGCTGGCGGCCCGGTTTCCAACCTTTTATTTATTTATTTTTTCTATATCCCGCCCATATTTTGAGAAACTGAGCTGCTTGGGCCCTATACTTACTGCTTTCAATCGGTAGCAAAGTGAGCTAAGTATAGTAGGATTGCTTTGGTCTCCCCTCCACCTTCGGTGGAAAAGAGACGTGGCAAAACATTCTCACATAATCAGCAAATAAAAAAAATTGACTATAAATGTCAGCAACTATATCGTTATAAAAAAACAAGGCAAAGCCATGGTTCACTGGTCGCACATAAATAGGAACTTTTGTTTTTCAGACTTACCTACAATATACATGGGGTTCTCGCGCATTGGAACCTCTATCCAAAATCATCACGGTACCATACCTGAAACCGGGAGATCAAGGCACCATATCTGTGCGTTTTCAAATTCCAAGTAAGAATTTTGAACCAAATGTGTCATGTTCGCACATTTCTTATTTACGATCTCAGATGAGCCAGGCAGATACGAATGTTACTGGCAATTCATGCACAAGGGCCGACGTTTTGGGCACTGGCTCGGCTGCCAAGTCGTCGTCGATCCTTTCGATCTGAAAGGAAACAGATCGGTTTTGGAAACTTCCGGGTCGACGGACAAGTACGCCGCTCAGGACGAGGCAGAGGGTGCTGTTTCCGCTCCAGAGGACCTCATACAATATTGCCGCGACATGAGCTTGAAAGGTAACGTTTGTTTCGGAGATTTAGCACCGTATGCATAGACAATCTCCCGAAAATCACGCGTTTCTAAGGACTTGAGCAAAATTTTGGGATTTACAGAGTTATTCTAATTGGCAAATAAAATCATTCTTAGTATGCAATAGGAACGTGAATTATGTTTATTATAAAATGCAGAACTTTTTATTTAAATTTTTACTAATTATATATGTTTTTATTGCTTATAAACAGGCAAGCTTTACGAAAGAAGTAGTGAACAATATTTTGTTACTAATGGTACAGGACGGTAATGATTTTTTACGTTGCATTGAGTTTTCAAGTAAATCATAAATAATGTGGATGTGGATAGATAATAAAACCTAACCTAAAAGATTTGAGGAAACATTGTTCGAAATACAAAAAATTGAGCTGCAATTACTGAGCGCCCACTAGACTCTAGCGAATTAAACAATTGAGAACTTGAAAAAAAAAAGAACTAAAACAAGTTTCTCTTGAAGATCAAGAGATTGTGGATTTAACTCTAGTTTCATTGACTTTTCCACAGTGTTTGACAGGGTAAATCAGTCACCAGTATCTGGTTGATAGTGGATGCATTGACTTGTTCAAATCATTTGCTTACTATTAAGTGTATGATAGGGTTTTCTCTCAAAGTATTAAGAGTTGCCGAAATTTTTTGATTCAAAATAACGATAAATTTTTTCATGTATCATTTTATCACTCAAGTAAATACATTAAATGATATTTAAGCTCATTTCAAAAAAGGTCATCAAAAATCGATGACAAATAAACAATAACTGTGTACTAAAAAGCTGATTCATATTACACGTGGCACCATAATTATGGTGTGTGTGTGTTTTCCTGCCTAATATACTTTTTTACTAAATTCTACTGGAACATCACATCACATGACTTACATCACTTCATACAAAAAGCGTTTCCTAAACTTCGCTCGCACCGCTGGCCTCTGTCTATGCATGCGGGTCTTAGAAGCACTGCCGATCAGTTTAAGGTTCTCACAATAACCGAAAAACTTTTGCAACGGTGCGAAAGTGTATCGCATCGACCAGCGTGTCTTCGGTATTCCTTGTCGAAGACTATCTAGAGCTTTGGAACATTACTTTTGAACAGCTTACTGCTGGCCATTCTGCGCTTAATAAATAACTTTGCCAACATTTATTATGAATGAAGATTTTGGCAGGCAATGATAATGATAATAAGTACCTTTTATTTTAAAATTGGTCGCATATCACATCTATCAGTTACATCGGCAATTAAATTCCATCACCCTATACTAAGATCTACCTAAAATTTGCATATTAATATGATCTTGGATTCTATTTAAATCATATATAGTGTATTCAGTGTAATAAAGCACTATATCTTAATATCATTTTGATGAGGGTTGCATAAAATCAAATCTAATTGTATCTTATGACAAGCTTTATTTTAATCACGAGTTTGTTTTTTTAATAAACGAGTGTCTAAAGAACCATACTTTTTGTATGTTTTTATATTTTTGGATGCCAAGATTCCATCAACATTCATTCACACCGTAGCTGATTTTTAAAGCAATGTTAACGAGTTATTCGGGAAAGAGTTTAATAAGGGACCTTAAGAATTACCTCTTACATATACCATACATACAATAGATTTTATTCAAAATTATTATAAACAATGGAGATGTAGTACTCTACTACAATTTATATTTTATATATTCTATACCCATTCCTCATATCTGAGATATTTTGTTCTACTATTGTGCCGGCTTCCTCCGATTCTAGTTAAGGCGAGCGACCTCTGGTGTTGACTTGGTTAACCGCTTGTCACGTCTTCAAGTTGTCCCTCTATGTCACTGTGACTTAAAACTTGGCTGTTATGGTAAACGCGATTATTAAATAATTAAACCCTTTATACAGGGCACTATCTATAATAACTTTAAATTATTTCCAAGTATATGTTCCTCTTACAAATTAGGGACCAACGTATAATAGTAGATAGATAGGACTCTTTATTAAAATATATATTAGTCAAATCGCACTTATACAATGGGTTACATATAATACAATGCATCACAACGAACACAGTAAATAAAAACAACCAGTTTTGTTTTTTTTTTACCCCTAAATTGACATGTTATAAAAGAAATAAGAAACAGAATATAGAATACCAGGAAGTTAATAATAACAATCAAAGTCCAAAATCCGGGAACTCTTGGACCTTATAAAAGGCCTTCTCCGCAAAAAAATTGGAAATTTTATGCTTTAGTTATTTAAATGGTACTCTTTTCCAGCTAGTTGGAAAATGGTATGCTTTTCCAGCTAGTTGGAAACTTGTTCCAAATTTTTTTATTTCAAAATTCTGTATTTCTTCGAATATATGTAAAAAATATTTATATAGCCATTTCATATTCATGTATATCACAGTTTTTATACCAGTCTTGATTTGTTTATGAAATAAAGTTGTTAAATGTTTTTTTTTTGCAACCTGTCAAAAACTGAAGGCTTATTTGCATTTTTCATTCCGACGTAGTTTAGGTCTAGAAACATTAGTTTCGATTTGAGATGGTGCGAGGGTAATGAAACGGAAACATTTTTTCTTTGAAAGTCCTCAGCAGTTTCTTGAGGTGATGGAAATCGCTCTCCGCTGTCTATTTGACAGCGGGGAACAAGAAAAAGTCATTCGGCGATAAAGCGGATGCATACAGACAATGAGACATTAATTTCTCCTTGAAATATTCAATTGTTTGACTTGCTTTATGGGGGTTGGCATTGTTGTGATGAAGAATGATGCGACTTTGTATTTTTTTTATTTCATGATTTTATTGCTGTTTCTTGGAATGGCAGCCGATTTTCTCAACAGTCTTCTGTTGGCAAAATGATGGTGCATTATTTTTGAGTTTTAGTAAGGTCTTTTGTAAAATAATAAAAAATCATCCAATGTAAGCCTTCACGGGTGATTTCCATTTTTGCCCAGACTTGGTTCTTTTAAACGTTCGCTACCAACAACTTATTCAGTCAATCTCTGAATTTCCGCTGGCTTCTCAATAACAAACGTTCACAAATACGGTGGTGCCGCAACTCATCCGCGCCACCTATTGTTCGATTGTAAAAGCTTAACCCTCATAGTTCATTCCTGTTAACCAAAATTCTTTCTGAAAGTTCACCACGAGTCGTATTTGTCCTAACGTTTAGACGCCATGAAGGAATTCACCCGCGACTACGCTAACGAAATCGTTAAGTCTAAACCAGCAAAGAAGAACCAGATTAAGTTCGAAGACGAAGACCTAGACGAAGAGGGAGGGTCCCTCTTGAACGTTTTGGACGGTTTGAACGTCGAACGCAACACGATCGCGAGTTCAGACTCCGATAACCAGAGTATCTTGTCGTTCGACGGTAGCAACTGTTCCACTAGGCCCGGGGAAGAGTTCGTTATGGTACCGGTGCCCGACTGTTTTAACGTGGACAGTCCGACAATGGTTCACGTCACTGGTGACCTTTTGGGGGTTGGAAAAAAAGATGCGGAAGGAAAAGACGGGAATTACGACAACAATAATAACACGGAGAGTGGTAACAAAAGTGAGTATACAAAATCAGACTGACTCTGTTTCTGGATTGTTCTGACTATGGTTGGACAACAATTTTTGTTAAAACCTTAAACAATAGGCATATGGAAACGTACAACGGGCTTAAAAAACACTTGCATACTTCTATAATTATTCTACCTTTACAAAATGCCTGCTTTTTCTTGACTTACCTCTAAATGATGAGAAAGTTTATGAAAAGAACTTGCATAAATGACTCTATTGCGGCAATCAAATGTCTGCTGGCCTCTTTGTTAACTCATTAGTGCACATTTTTTTAGTCAATTTAAGTTAAAAAAATCATTTATTCTTTTTACAAATAATTTTTGTTTGTGTTTATTTTTTTATGCTTTTTTTTTTCGGTTAGAGGAATAAAGTCAGGAAAATATCGTTCCTTTAGTCTTAATGGTCCTAATATCTTTGTCGCCCTGCCTTCTTGACGTTTGTACTCCAAAACCAAATAAATGTATAAATATTTTTTCCTTCATTTTTTAGTTAGTTGATAGTCATGTAAGTATTGATCTAATCTATCGACGCCTCCCATATGTTATTGTAGTCCACAACTAATTTAGGTTTCTTTATGGGATTTCGTTCTTTATCTTTCTTCGCAGTTAGGACTATTCCGGGATTGTGAATTGTCAACAAGAGACAAATTTCTTTCTTGTCATGCCACTTCATTACCATGCCTTTTTCTTTGAAATGCTATAGATTCTCCATTTTTTAGTTTTTTTAGTCACAAGTTGTCGTGGTAAATCTTTTTGGGTATCAATTGTCGGTCGTTACACAATATCCCATATCTGCTAATGACAATACGACCTGTGAAGTCATAAGCATATCTTTATATTTTTGGGAGTTTTTTTTTCCAGTATAAGTAATAAACAAATGTAGATTTTTATCCCAAAACGAGATCGTTTAGAGGGATGTACTGGATCCAACCCAATCGTCGTTTGTACAATAACAAACTTTCATCTACACTTATGTCTCGTTCAGGTATATAAAATAAATAAATTTTCTTCTTAAAGCTTCATAGATAGGCCAAATTTTGTTTAGTTTAGGATTCGCATGAGTATCACAGTCATATGATTCATTATCCGAAAAATGTAATTTTTTCTTTGATATGAATATCGACATAAAGACATTAGTTTTGGAAATATTGGAGTAGCAAAATTGTCTTCAGTTGTCCATTACATTCTATCTTCTGTCTTTTTTAGTATTCCTTCAATTATATTTATACCTAAAAATATTTGCATCTTCGTGGCTGTTGTTCTGCATAGCCATTAGATTCGGTGAAAAATATGTTTATCAATTCATTATCAAAAAATAATTGGAAATACTCCAAGACCGCACAATTATCTGCATTGAGTACAATAAACTAGAAACGTGGTGGTGCTGAATCCAAGATATTTGTATTTATTTGATGGTACCAATTGATTGGTCATCAACCTCGCTTTCCTCCGAATTCGATTCTACATTGCTGTCGTCACTTTCTCATAAACTGGCGTACTCAAATTCAGAATCTTCTGAGATAAAATATATCATATTGTTATACTATGGTAAAACTTATTCTAGCAAAACGTCTTGGATTTCCAAATCTCACTACATATACTACACGTCCGGTAACTTTTAGAATATTGATAATGAGCCATAAAATCGGGCTCTAGCATAAGCAAAGAGCAAATTCCGAGAATGGCAATAATCTACCATCCAACGTCACAGATACGGACTTAAAATATTTGGAAAATTATATTTCTATATTAACCGCGACCCATACAGAGTTATAAAATATTTTGAGACATAAAATTACAGCGACCGTAACGTTCATGGAGCTGCACAATTCTGCCGATAAACGTTGCCCGTATATGTCACGGAGGTGTGTATTAAGCGGTTAAGTTAAAATAATAAACTTTTCATTCCCTATTTTAAAAAGATTACTGTCATCCCTTATTTATCTTGTTTCCATTGTTATCCTTTCTCTAAAGGATTTTATGTGTATACAAATTAACTGAAAACCCTACTTATCCGTGCTAAATGTCTACCTAAAATAATTTGCAACACAACTACAAACACTTTTCTACTCAAGGAAATTATTCAACATAAAATCTTTTCTGTTGTCTATTGCTTGATTTTATGAACAAAGGTTTTAGTTTGCATATATAAATTTTTAGAGAATTGAAATTTTAAAATCTCCCTAGGGTGTAATTTTTTTTATTTTTTTTTTTTTTCAAAAACCTCTATATTCTACAAAATTTGTATGACTTCCTCAATTTTATCTCCCCCAGACATTGTGTATCTTGAATACACAACGAAACGCGAAGAAGGAGGCGAAAACGTGAAAACGGTAGTCGGTTTTTCTGAATCCGGAGATAATTCGACTCAATGCAAAGAAGGTAAGTCGCTGATATAGGCATAAACACAGAGGGCTTTCAAATTTCGCTTTAGATTTCATGTTCATACACGTCGACGGTCAAAAAGTGCTTGTACCGAAAAACATACTGAATTCAGAGGTTATAAGCAGGGCCCAATTGCTCCGTAACGCCGCTACCCCGAAGACAACGGAAATCTCTCCAGCCGTCGAACCAGAAAACCCGCTTCCATAGTAAGTAGACAGATTTCTCTAAAGCATTTGAGATAATTGAGAGTAGTTTGATAGAAAAAATTAGGTTGTTTTCGATTCTTTGAAAAAATGGTGATTCTTAGACTCTTAAAAGTTTACAATTTTAAATACATTTAGTGTCAAAATTCAGATTGAAACATATATAACATATGAGAATAGTAGAATAGTATACAAGTGCGGTAAATGGTATTTGACTCACGAGAGTGGTTAATACTTTTACGTTTACTTAAAAAGTTTACCGAACTTGTTGCATACTATACTTTTTCAAAAACCGTTAGTTTTTGGGTACATTTTCGCCAAACAACACGAATACATGGCCGTCAAAATTAACAAACGTCAAAATTCAAAGCGTGGGCAATATCTCCGAAAAAATCCGATTTTTCACAAATCCGTGTGGTAAAATCCCGGAAATGTCCGAAGTGGCTCGAATTCGTGGGAAACGAAGCTGACGTGGTAAAGTGACGCTTCCCGCACGCCAAATCGATGTGTATTTTACAGACGGGAGTAGAAAAATATTTTAAAACGATAGAATACTAAACAAACTCTTTATTCTTTATGTATGTATAGTATGTAATTATAAGTATAGGAAGCGGCCTTAATTGTCTGTCAAAATATGCCATAATGAATAGAGTATTCACTTTGAAAATAAAATAACATTTTGGCAATTTCGTGTAAGACGGTAAAATAACTATTTTGTAAATAATCCAGACATCGCAAAGAGCATTACTCTACATTACCCAGAATACTGGTAACTTCAGTCAACATTTCAATTTCATAAATGTTTCCGTATGTTAGCAATAATAATTTTAGTTGGGGTTTGTTTATTTTATTGTTATTTGGAAAATAGAACAACATACAAAGTGCCTTCTTTTTAAGATTCCTCTTATAGAAGGTTGGCAACAACTTCGGCAAATCACTCTGCATCCTACGCTACTCTTAGTAGTGATTGCGAATCCAGACCAGTCCAATAGTGTGGGATTTGTAAGAAGTCTCTTCATTCTAAGAAATCACTTATGGCACTTTCTATGCGGGATCGAATTTCCATTTCTGGATTGAGATCACTTGTTAACCAGTATCCAATATATCTGAATTTACTGACCTTTTCTTTCATTGTGTATAGTTATGTTCCTGTTCACATTTCTGGAAATTAATATCGTTCTTGTTTTTCTATGTTTATTTGAAGGCCGAATGCATCTCACTCTCTCGTTATTGCATTTATAAGATTCTGGGGCCCCTGTTAGCGGCTATTCATTATTGTAATGGTGTCATCTGCATACTGTATATTGTTGATTAATCTTCCGTTCACTTTTATGGCTTCATAGATATTTTCAAGAGCTTTCTGAATATATGTATTGAACAGAGAAGGAGACAGTATGCAGCCCTGCCTTAAACCCCTTTTGATAGGAATACTGTTTGTTAGTTTGTTTTTCGATCCTTATTGATGCTAGTTGTTCCCAGTGCAAGTTCTTTATGATATTGAATATCAATTTGATTCACTCCTTGTTTGTATAGTAGGTTAATCTCTACATTTTTGCATAAGCACATTAAGCCTAAACAGTGCCTCTCTAGTTCCAAAGTCCAATTGAATTTCGACTTGTTGTTTCACAAATTTTTCGCATATCCTATGATGTATAACTCTTAGAATTATCTTTATAAACATTTTTAAATCCAAACTAAAATTTTTTCCCCTACCAAACTGTTTTTATAATTTAGAGGTATATTTTACTTATTAATGTTTGTTATCACTGTAATGTCGTGTTCTGTCAAATTTTTAATGTAGTTTTCTGCCTCATTTGCGGGATATATATTGTGTGCCTAATTCTGACCTACTTGACGAAAACCGTAATACACTTATTGTGTTCTAAATATGTAGAATGTATTTTCAATATAATCGGCAACCTTGTATATTTGTTATCAACAGCTGAATGTTCCTAAATAGTCATTGTGTCAGCATTATTCATTTTCATTTTTTTGTAATGACAATTTTCGCCCCGCCTGCAGCGTCCAACCGCTCCAACCCACCACCAGCGCCACCATTCAACAGGACAGCCAACAACCGGATCAGTCGGAAGCAAATCCCGAAACCGACTACATGTCCCATTGTTCCGCGGCCGGATCGTGTTTCTCTTACGTCAACAGCGAAGCCGAAAGGACCAACAGGCTGTTCATTTTCCCGAAGGATTGTCCCGGTTACGAGGTCGTTTATCCGGTGATAGAAAGAGACGAATCGGGCGAACCGATTGTTCCGGACATGAGCACGTCGTCGTCGGTACCGGCGCGCCCGGAGGATCCGGCTCCCGGAGCGAACATCGTCCACATCCCGAACTTTCAACAGACTCCGCCTGAAATGCGGACCTCCCCGACTCCCACGACCACACCCAGCGCCCCCCAACAACCCGCCGAAACGGTCGCGCAGAGTGTTCCTTCCAAGTCGCACGACCAACAACCTCACTTGTCCCAGCCACGCCCACCGCACACAGTACAAGAGACTATTATGACGGGGGCGGCGAGCGCCGCCTCCTCTGCGATCAACACGGCGCGATCCGTGATTAATAATATAATGAGGCCGCAGGTAAATAATAGTTTGTTAATCATTCAACTTGGAGTTGTAAAATTAAAGGGAAAGAAACGATTACTCCACCCCAATTGATGAAAAACCATTTTTTCGAAAAAGCGTCTAAAATACCACGTTTTGGAAGGTCATCATAACAATCAACGCCCTCAAGGTCGTAAAGATGGAGGGTTAGGTTGATTTCTTTTTATTTATTATTTTCCTGTTCAGTGAAATGGCAGAACAATTGTCACAGTCACAATGCACATTTACAAAGTCCGTTCCAGTCTATTGCAAAAACATAAAAACCAATGCCAAATATTGTGATTTTAAAATTAGGAAATTTTTTTAGCTGGTTATGTTTGGTGTGAACTCTTAATAGTCAATCAGATTTTAAGTTTCTAGTGCTCTGAAGAGTTGAAACAAAACTAAAGTTATTTTTGGCACCTCGCACATAATTTCAACATAACACAGAACTTTATTAATTTTTCATAGAAAGCTGTCATACCATTTACAAAACTTCCGGATTCCTCCTGCGTCGGTGGTTCATGAATCGAACTTCCTGACGTTTGGCCAACCATCCTGTGCGCTTATTCAAAGCTAAACTGAAACTGGCTCGCATTCTACTCTGTGCCTGCTTATATATTGGTTGAGGGGGGCGGAGCTAAAGGATGGTCATGAACGTTGTTTTGGATGACTGATTTTAGTTTTATGGAATAAAATTTGATCTCTGGTTTTGTGATTATGCTCAGTGAATACTGATGAGTTTATTTGTCGTAGTTTTAAGGCTCTTTCATCCGGTCTCTCCTGGTATCTCAAACGGAAGAATCACTACAAAATTTGGTTCACAGAAAACCTACTCGCGCAGACCTTACACCTACTCTTCTCTCTGATAATTACCACATTAGAGGTATTAAGCGTTCCATCACCAAATACACTTCACCACAACATTCTTGCATGGAATCAATTTTTCTACCGAGAATCTATAGAAATCTATAAGCAGCTAAACAATCGTAACCGCGGCTCAGGTCTTCATCAACATGTGAATATGCCTCTTCTTAAGCTCCTCAACCAATATATAAGCGGGTACAGAGTAGAATGCGAGCCAGAAGAAACTCTGAATAAGCCAACAATAAAACGTCAGCAAGTTAGATTCAACAACCGACGCAGGAGGAATCTAGAAGTCTTGTAAATTGTCAATATTGTCATTTTTCACTTCAACGTTTCTTTTCGAATATTTTTCTTCCCTTAATATTGACTTAAACTACGAGTTATGAATTACAATATTTTGTTACGTTATGTATTTCAGTCGCCCGGGACGTGGATAAATGGACATTGGGTTAACAGCACTCCTCAGTCGGAACGTGAAACGAAGCTCCAGATTTTGGAGGAGATGGGTTTCTGGAACAGGGATCTTAACGCCACCTTGCTCGCTCGGTTCAATGACGATGTACCCCGGGTTGTGGCAGAACTCGTTCAGTAGAGACGCGAATTGATCTTTCTATCCCTTTTATTGGATTTATTAGATGAGTTTTTATAGGTAGTAGTATATATACGAGGGTAAATTGATGTGTTAAAGACATTAGTTATAGGCACAAGTTCTTTTTGGTTATTGGGTAATTCTCTTCTAGAGACTTCGCAATTGTACACAATCCGCATTTACAGAAAATATTTGAGTAACACGACGTTGACATATAGGTGTAGTTTATTGCTTGGAAAATCTTATGTCACAGTCACAGGTGGTAGTCGAGATTTTCTTTGCCTATAAAAAGGTTTTAATTTTCATTTAATGATCTAGTTATATATAGACATACCTAACCTTAATGTGATAATCTTGTGTATTGAATGGATTATATTTGTTCGAAATGACCATTGCGTTTCATTCTAAAAAATAAATAAGACTTTATCTAGCCGATGGCACTATTTCAAAAATTGTTGTTTCTATAATGCCTGGGCTGGGTCTTAATTGCATTCTTGTATTTTGAGAAATCTCGTATTACAAATATACTAAAGTGGTGTTTGCTCCATCTGGTAAGAGAAAGTAATGGGGAGTGTTGGAACCATAGAGCTGTAATAGCAGTACGGTGAAAATTGATGCGCCGCAGTAGAGAAGGTATGGATCAACTGTTTGAGTTGCTACGTTGCCGTAAGTATTCTGGAAAATTAATTTTTATAAGAATGCCACATCAATCTCTGAAATCCAAACATAATTGGCAACGCCGAGATAACAGTCGGTGCCGTGTGCCATTGTTGTTTTCATTTATGTTGTCAATATCTCCATACCCTACTCATAAACTTGTATAATTTTTACTTTCAATACTTTGTTCTTTTCCGAAACTACAGCAATTGTGGCAAATATAAGGACCTAATAGGCTCTGCGAAAAACAGTGATACCTATATATTTTAAATTTAACAAACTGGAAAATAGACTTACAGAAATTACTAAATAGAATGCCTACATTTTTAGGTGCATTTAAATAGTTACGAAGAATGTTTGGGTAATATGTTTTAGTGTACAAGAAATATAAGAAATTAAGCTACAAGTTCAATTTTTAGGAATTTTGAGGAATTCCCATTGTCGTCTACTGCCTGGAAATGCTTCTTGAAGATTTTTTTCCACTTTCTTTTGCTATATCTAGCATCTCAAAGTTATTTCAATAGGGGTTCAACCCATGAGTTTATGAAAACTAACATGAAAAAATACATGCAGAAATTGCATCCTATCTACAGGGCTCACGGAACAATGACGCCAAATTAATTACAGAATTATACTGACTCCGACGCGGGTGTTACAATTCTGCACTGCTTTTCCACACTTTAACTCCTTTTTTGTCTGAAAATTTAATAGGATTGCGACATATTTTCAGAAAATACTGCCGTAAAAATGCCTTATGGACGATCTGTCAGCGGCCATGTTGTTTGTTGAAAGCCGCAAGTTGTTATGGGTCCAACGTTAAAATTGGCCATTAGAACTGCCATTGGTTAAAAACGAAATTTTAAATCTCGCGCATGCTCACGTTGAATGGACTTCCTCAAAAAAATTTTCATATTTGCTTCATGAGTTCATGTATTGTCAGCATTGGCGGGGCCTCTATATGTCTAGTAGTTATATAGTTCAACCATATAGCTATCAGATCAGATAGGTGTTTTACTACGGTCAAAATTGATGCGCAACATTTGACGCCACTAACCTGAACTTTGTGACATTTTCTTTCTAAACAGCGTTTTCCACCTATGAGTTCCCAGAACATTTAACTGCATCTAGGCATATTTTGACCTAATACTGTCAGCGGCCGAGTTAGTTATTTGTCTATTGCCGCAAGGTCATTGGTTATAGTTGCTTCATAAGTTCCTGTATTATGGACATAGGCAGGCCTCTATATCTCTAGGAGATCAGAAATAAATCTCAATAAGTCAAAATGAGTATACCGAACATAGAAGCAATACGTCTTTTGGCAGTTGGTCGGCGGTTTGATTTTAGCAAACTCGGCCAATCAACAAAAGAAGAAGAAGGCCGACCAAATGTGAAGGCTAATTTTATTATAGTAAGCGTCAAATCAAAACCTATAAGAAATATAAGTATAGCATCAATACAGTGCTTTAAATACGTTTATTGTAATAACATTTAATTACTAAGATTTCGCAAAATGTACGAACAAGATTATGATCAGTTCGACGACGAAGAAACTGAAGAAATTAGTTCAGAGTTATGGCAGGAGGCCTGCTGGATCGTCATCAACGCTTATTTCGATGAAAAAGGGCTCGTAAGACAGCAGTTAGATAGCTTCGATGAGTTTATACAGATGTCCGTTCAACGAATAGTGGAGGATTCGCCCGCAATTGAATTGCAAGCTGAAGCTCAACACACGACAGGCGAAATTGAAATCCCTCCCAGGTATTTGCTGAAATTTGAACAAATTTACCTATCCAAACCAACCCATTGGGAAAAAGATGGTGCTCCATCGCCAATGATGCCCAATGAAGCCAGATTAAGAAATTTGACTTACTCCGCACCTCTTTACGTTGACATAACTAAAACAATTGTAAAAGAAGGTGAAGACCCTATTGAAACCCAACATCAAAAAACTTTTATAGGTAAAATTCCCATTATGTTGCGTTCAACATATTGTCTCTTAAGTGGTCTAACAGATCGTGACTTAACAGAATTAAATGAGTGCCCTTTGGATCCTGGAGGGTATTTTATTATTAACGGTTCAGAGAAGGTGCTTATTGCCCAAGAAAAAATGGCTACAAATACTGTTTATGTGTTTTCAATGAAAGATGGAAAGTATGCTTATAAATCAGAAATTCGTTCTTGCCTAGAACATAGTTCCCGACCTACATCAACATTATGGGTCAATATGATGGCCAGAGGGGGTCAGGCTATTAAAAAGGCTGCAATAGGTCAAAGAATTATAGCCATTCTGCCATATATCAAGCAAGAAATTCCTATTATGATAGTCTTCAGAGCTTTGGGTTTTGTGGCTGACAGAGACATCCTTGAGCATATTATCTATGATTTTGAAGACCCTGAAATGATGGAGATGGTAAAACCTTCTTTGGACGAGGCTTTTGTAATTCAAGAACAAAATGTAGCTTTAAATTTCATTGGTGCAAGAGGTGCTAGACCAGGTGTAACAAAAGAGAGACGTATAAAATATGCTAGAGAAATTTTACAAAAAGAAATGTTACCTCATGTTGGTGTGTCTGATTTTTGTGAGACTAAGAAAGCCTACTTTTTGGGTTATATGGTACATAGATTGTTATTAGCCGCCTTAGGACGCAGGGAATTAGATGATCGAGATCATTATGGAAACAAGAGGTTAGATTTGGCTGGTCCTTTACTAGCTTTCTTGTTTAGAGGATTATTTAAAAATCTGATGAAGGAGGTAAGAATGTATGCACAGAAATTTATTGATAGAGGAAAAGATTTTAATCTGGACTTGGCTATTAAAACAAAACTTATCACTGATGGCTTGAGATATTCCCTCGCCACCGGGAATTGGGGTGACCAAAAAAAGGCTCATCAGGCAAGAGCTGGGGTATCGCAAGTATTAAATCGCCTCACATTTGCATCGACCTTATCTCACTTGCGCCGTGTCAATTCTCCAATTGGCCGAGATGGTAAATTAGCCAAGCCGCGTCAGTTACATAACACCCTGTGGGGTATGATTTGCCCGGCCGAGACGCCAGAAGGCGCAGCGGTAGGCTTGGTGAAAAACTTGGCTTTAATGGCATATATTTCGGTCGGTTCTCAACCATCTCCAATCCTGGAGTTCTTGGAGGAATGGTCAATGGAAAATTTGGAAGAAATTGCCCCGTCAGCCATCGCAAATGCGACAAAGATATTTGTAAATGGATGTTGGGTGGGCATACATCGAGATCCGGAACAACTCATGGCCACTCTAAGGAAATTGAGACGACAAATGGACATCATAGTATCGGAGGTATCAATGATACGAGATATCAGAGACAGGGAAATTCGAATATACACGGACGCAGGTCGTATATGTAGGCCTCTGTTGATTGTAGAAAACGAGCAGCTTCTATTAAAAAAGAAGCACATAGACAATTTAAAAGAGAGGGAATATAACAATTACGGATGGCAAATGTTGGTGGCTTCCGGCGTGATCGAGTACATCGACACTTTGGAGGAAGAAACCGTGATGATAGCAATGTCGCCAGATGATCTCAGGCAGGAAAAAGAATACGCTTATTGTACAACTTACACTCACTGCGAAATTCATCCAGCTATGATACTAGGAGTTTGCGCCTCTATTATCCCTTTTCCCGATCACAACCAGAGTCCCAGAAACACTTATCAAAGTGCTATGGGCAAACAAGCTATGGGAGTCTATATCACCAACTTTCATGTTCGAATGGACACTCTGGCTCATGTCTTGTATTATCCTCACAAACCTTTGGTCACAACTAGGTCTATGGAATACCTCCGGTTTAGAGAACTACCCGCTGGGATTAACAGTATAGTCGCGATTGCGTGCTATACGGGTTACAATCAAGAGGATTCTGTCATCCTGAATGCGTCAGCGGTGGAGCGGGGCTTCTTCAGGTCGGTATTCTATCGTTCCTATAAGGACGCCGAATCCAAACGCATCGGAGATCAGGAGGAACAATTCGAAAAGCCGAACCGGCAAACCTGTCAAGGAATGAGGAACGCGCTGTACGACAAGCTGGACGACGATGGTATCATTTCGCCGGGAATAAGAGTGTCGGGCGACGACGTCGTCATAGGCAAAACAATGACCCTTCCGGAAAATGATGACGAATTAGAAGGAACGACGAAACGTTTCACCAAACGGGACGCCTCCACTTTTCTGCGGAACAGCGAAACCGGGGTCGTGGACCAAGTGATGTTAACCTTGAACTCTGAAGGCTACAAATTTTGCAAAATCAGGGTGAGGTCGGTAAGGATACCCCAGATCGGAGACAAGTTCGCGTCGAGACACGGTCAGAAGGGTACTTGCGGCATCCAGTACAGGCAAGAGGACATGCCGTTCACCTGCGAAGGTATCACTCCCGATATTATAATCAATCCTCACGCTATCCCCTCCCGTATGACAATCGGTCACTTGATCGAGTGCATCCAAGGCAAAGTATCGTCCAATAAGGGTGAAATCGGCGACGCGACGCCGTTTAACGATGCCGTAAATGTACAGAAAATTTCGACTCTGCTTCAAGAGTACGGTTACCAGCTGCGAGGTAATGAAGTTATGTACAACGGTCACACGGGGCGGAAAATCAACGCCCAAATCTTCTTGGGTCCCACTTATTATCAAAGATTGAAGCACATGGTGGACGACAAGATCCATTCGCGAGCCAGAGGCCCGGTCCAAATCCTAGTGAGACAGCCGATGGAAGGCAGAGCCAGGGACGGAGGTCTACGTTTCGGAGAGATGGAGCGCGATTGCCAAATCTCGCACGGCGCCGCCCAATTCTTGAGGGAGAGGCTGTTCGAGGTGTCTGACCCCTACAGGATCCACGTTTGCAACTTTTGTGGCCTAATCGCCATCGCAAATATGAGGAATAACACGTTCGAGTGCAAGGGATGCAAGAATAAAACTCAGATTTCGCAGGTCCGTTTGCCCTACGCGGCGAAATTGTTGTTCCAAGAATTAATGTCGATGAATATTGCGCCCAGGTTAATGGTTTTGTAATTTTTATTATCGATTGTAATGTCCGACTCCAAGTTATGTGTGTGTTATATGATTTGACATCAGTTTTACATTTATAATTAAGTATTAGCCAATAAAATTGTCTTAAAGTTACAACTTTGATTAACTATATATCTATTGCTTAATGAAGGGGGTAACAAAACCAAATAAATATGTCGATAACGGATTGAGTTGAAACCTGGCTTTGTTAATGATTGTATTAGTTCACGTTTCTTTATGTCGAAATTTTGTGAACTGTGTGAGAGCCGACTTTAACTGCACAGTAATCCTACTTTAATGTTTGAAAACAATTTTGGCCAACCTAGTGGTTTTAATATTGCTTTTACTTCTTTTGGAGCTATTGGTGGTATTGATCCAGGGTTTGTGCCCGCAAATTATATTAATAAACAATTTGGTTCCGTTTTGCTAAAGTTTAGTCTGAGGAAGTTAATAAAACTTTGATTAGTATTAAAACTAACGCTTATAGCTCCGGCAATATTGATATAAAAATGATTCTTTTAACAACTCCATATTTAGTCGATCATATCACTTTCCTTGTTAACAAGTGTCTGCTGACTGGGGTTTTTTCGGACTCTTGGAAGCAAGCTGAATCCACCATGTCAAAGATTATTGAAAAATTTGCAGCTAAACAACTTCCTCCCACACACTCAATCTGGTTTTCAACCTCTTCACAGCACTAGTTCTGCCTTGCTTCACGTTACTAATGATTTATTGAGAGCAGCGGATTCTAAATTAAACTCTTGTCTCCTACTCTTGGACTATAGCAAAGCCTTCGACACCTTCTAGCTAAACTGGAATTCTTCGTGATAAAAGGTACTGCTCTTTCTTTTTTAAAAATTTTCTTGCTCAAATAAACCAAAGGGTAGTTATAGCAAATACTCATTCAGATGCCATTGTTTTGGAGTGGGGTGTTCCCCATGGGAGTATTCTGGGACCTATTCTATTCTATAACTTCGCTACTTTTCTTAAATTTTGTAAATCTCATCAAAACGCCGATGATACTCAGTTATATTATAAATATATTTTCGCGGATGGAAAAATATGATGACAATATATTCCGGGATATCATCCGTTCGTTTGTTGAGCTCCGACTGGAATCCTGCAGACGTTTCGCCAAGATCTCACTTGGCATTTTCAATGCTCGCGCTCCGAAAACACTTCAAAAACAGTGATTGAAGTGTTTTCGCACAGGTTTGGGAGCAATCGCAGGTTTTCGTTTCTTTTACCGTATGTTCGTCAATTCTGTTTTGTCAGTGAATGTATTCGTGTTGTTTTGCAAAAATATATCTAAAAACTAACGGTCGTAGAAAAAGTACAGCATTCGGAAAACTTTTTAAGTTACTTGTTTATTAAACACTCGCTCCGCTTGTGCCAAATACACTAGTGACTCAAATGCCGTTTACCGCACTTGTTGCATAATATACTATTATAATTTAGAGGAATATTTTACTTATTAATGTTTGTTATCACTGTATTATTGTGCTGTCATATATTTATTGTATAAATTTTTAATGTAGTTTGTGGGATCTATATTGTGTACCTAATTTTGACCTACTTGACGAAATCCACACCTATTGTATTCTAAATATGTAGGATGTATTTTCAATACAATCGGCAACCTTGTATATTTGTTATCAGTATTATTTTAATGTTTTTCTACTCTCGTCTCTAAAATACCTAATTACCTACCGATCTAGCGTGCGGAAAGCGTCACTTTACCACGTCAGTTCCGTTTGCCACGAATCCGAGCCACTTCGGACATTTCCGGGATTTTACCGCACGGGTTTGGAAGCAATCGGATGTTTTCGGAGATATTTCCCACGCTTTGAATTTTAACGTCTGTCAATTCTGATAGTCATGTCGGTGAATGTATTCATGTTTTGAGAAAATGTACGCAAAAACTAACAGTTTTTAACTTTTTAACTTACTCGTTTATTAAACACTCGCTCCGCTCATGGCAAATAAACTCGTGAGTCAAATGCCGTTTACATAATACACTATTAAACTCATGTCTAAAATCTAGTACAAATATGTAGAATAGGTAAAAATAGTTCAGAAATTTATAATTTATATACAATTACAATTATTACAAGCTATTAATAAAAGCTTAAATAAAATTCCACTTAGACTTCCGAACACAGCAAGTGCTTACCATAATTATATCAAAAAAGGATAGTAACACACGAAGCACAAGGTTTTCCAATTATTAAATACACACTTATTTTAAATACCAACATTTTGATATTACACACAATCTGAGACCGGTAAAGACGGCTAAACTAAAAACACGTTTTCGCGAATACTGTTTCTTTTAATTTTTACAAAACTTCTGGAGTCCTCCTGCATCTGTTTTTGCTGAGTCGAACTAGCTGACGTATAGAAATCTATAAACAACCTAAAAATCTTAACGCGACTCAGGTCTGTACCCATCACCAATATGGGAATCAGTCATCCGAGACTGTGTTTATGCCCCTCATTTAGCTCCGCCCCCCTCAAACAATATATAAGCAGGTACAGAGTAAAATACGAGCCAGTTTCAGCCAAGCTCTAAAAAAGACAAACAGGATGATTGGCGAAACGTCAGCAAGTTCGACTCAGCAAAAATAGACGCAGGAGGAATCCAGAAGTTTTGTAAAAAGTATTACAGTAGCCTGTGGCAGTTTCTTTAAAAAACTGTTTCTTTTAATATCGAATAGCTCAATCAAAACGTATAAACCAACATACAATGATAATGATCATGATGATTGTTTACAATGTCGTTTCACCGCCTTATAGAGCTTGCGCCGTTAAAGTACGAGGGATACCCAGAGCTTGTATAGTACACCTTTCTGCCGCTAGGTTGTGGATAGTACAACTTATTGCGAGTTCAACGCCACCTTCGTTTTAAATTTAACTTGTTTTGTTCACTTGCAGTGCCATTTTTTGTTAACGCTGTTTTTTTGTTATTTCGTTTTTTTTCGATGGCAAGTTCAAAAGAACAACGTGCATCTGTGAAATTTTGTTTTCTGCTCGGTAAAAGTGCTGTTAAAACTGTTGCAATGTTAAAAGACCTCGTTCTGGACGTCCATCAACTGCTCGAATCGACGAAAATATCGAAAAGATTCGAGAGTTTGTGCTCACAGACCGTCGACAGATAATTGAACAATTATCAAAGATTAGTGGGTTATCTTGGAGCACGGTTCAGCGAATTGTAACGAAGATTTGGGAATGAAAAGAGATGCTGCCAAGTTTGTTCCTCGTATTCTGACTGACATGCAAAAAGAACATCGAGTTGAAACATGTGCTTTGATTCAACAGCTTGAAACAGATCCAGATTTTCTTTCAAAGATCATTACTGGACACGAGTCATGGTGCTATGATTACGATCCAGAAACGAGCAACAGTCCAGCCAATGCAAGACGTCACTGTCTCCCCGTCCAAAAAAATGTCGTCAGGTCAAATCAAACATCAAAATGATGCTGATTTGCTTTTTCGACATCAACGGCGTAGTTCATGCAGAGTTCGTTCCACCAGGTGAGACCGTTAATCAAGCTTTTTATCCGGGAGTTTTAAGAAGATTGCGCAACAGTATTCGACAAAAAAGACCCGATTTGTGGCTGAGAGGGGACTAGTTCTTTCACCACGATAATGCACCTGCACACACAGCCATTTCTGTTAAGCAGTTTTTGGCTAAAAATGGCATGGTTCCTCTGCCCCATGCACCTGACTCGCCTGATCTCGCTCCCTGTGACTTCTTATTTCCACGTATGAAAAGGGACATGGAAGGACAGCGATTTGACAACATTGAAAAGGTCAAGAAAAAAACGAGGGATGAGCTGTCGGCTATAGCCAAAGATGAATATAAAAAATGTTTCAAGTGAAAGCACCGCTGGGACAAATGTATTAGTTGTAATGGAGTAATTTGAAGGGGATAAGGTCGTTCTGTGATTTTCAAAACAATATGTAGTTTATAAAAAATGATTCCGGTTTTTTTTAGGCACCCCCTCGTATGTGACTGAAATAGGTAAAATGTCACATTTGATAGTTGTAACATCTTGGTGACCTTTTTGCGCGAAATTGATAATAAAAAACTTTTTTTTTAAACCCATTACTATTTACAAAACAAATATAACCATTAACAATATAACAATATACTATTAACAATTACAATAAAAATACTCATATTAAAGAAAAACAATTCAACTATCTTGCCTAGTATGTTCGTAAATCCAGTCCAGCGCAGATTTAATGATGGAAAGCCGAGCTCTACACAAGAAACTTGAAATCAATAAATATTCAGCATAACCGGCATGCCCGCTTTTACCCAAGCGTGTTTCACTCGAAACGCATGCTCTGCCCTCGCATAAAACCTTGGCGGTCACTGACAGCAACCAATCCAAAATCTCCTCAGAAGTGGGAGGTTTGCCTTGCTGATTTAGCCAAGAACTCGGGGCCCATAAAAATAGCTGGCACACTGTTGCGGCCATTTCGGCATCCAATCGATCTCTAGGATCTCTCTTTAATAGATTCTTTATTAGAATTTTAATAGCGATTGGAACATTTCCGGGTAAATCAGGCAATGCCGATTCCTCATAATTGGTATTACGCAACCTTAAGTTTCCTTTGACGTAAAAAGGATTTGGTGCACCAAATATTTCATAAGCCAATGCGCCCACGGCCCACAAATCCGACTTGGTATAATTCAAAACCGAGAAGGTTCCTGGTTTCTGACATATTATTTCGGGAGCCATCAATGCCGCGTTCCCACCCTTATCGACGTCGTAATTGCGATAAGGCACAACCAAATTGTGATTCTTCTCAGATAAACAACATCCAAAATCAGTTATCACTAACAGTGGACTGTCAGGGTCAGATAAATCTAACAAAACATTATCAGATTTAAGATCTCGGTGTGCTATGTTGTGGGACACCATATGACTAACACCTTCAAGGAGTTGAGTTAACAGAAGGATTGATGTACGTGTTGACAACGAAGTTGACTCTGTAAATTCTTGCAAACTTTGATGGTATCTTTTCATTAACAAAAACAATGACATATTTCTTCCCTCACCTTCTGGATCAATTCTTTTAGGTAGTGCGGCAGGATATAGTTCCCTGCATTCGTCCAATTCTGGTACAAAATCAGTAAACACAGTTAAAATGTTGACAATATTTGGGTGCGGAGGCAAATGACGGCTTCTATCCAAAAATTCATACTCCCAGTCTGATATTCCATGAGAATTGTAATACATTCTTGCAGGTACAGTTTCTTTATACATACCCCGCAAAATTGCTATCGCATTTGACTGAATATCATAATTAAACATCATTTTGATTGCAAATGGATAATCTTCGTGACCATTGGCTGCCACTTGTTTTTGGGATTTTATTTTCGCTGCATATACCGCAGCATTGGCTCCTTTGGCAATTGGCTTACCAAAAGTAAATGTGTTCAAGGTTACCACTTTATCATCAAGACTCGCCTCACATCGCAATTTGGGATCCTCAAAGAACCATTGCACTTTTGACATGCATTCTCGAATTTCCCAACACACACCCTCCAATTCTTCTTCTTTACTCAAAATACTGGTACCAGAAGCAAAGGCAATGCCAACTAATCCCAACACCGGTCCAGAGGTGCCATACAAAATCCGTTGAGTAGCTCTGCGTCTTACATCAGCAGCGAATGTGTTTGTAATTTTCTGAGCGTTCTCGACTAAAAGTTTGCGCGCCTGCTGCGTAATTTGTATGCCCACATTTCGCAATACATAGTTCTTGGAAACAATTTGTTTTTGCAATTGGGTAGGCGGAGAAGATGCCTGACTGCTAGCGCCTACCTTATTTGCAATGGTTGTCGAATGGGCTTCCCGTTTGCATATTTGGCGCAGGAGCGCCGTACCATGCTTGAATAGCTTGTTTCCGATGTACCGCGCCGACATTTTATATTTTCAAAGTAATTCCGATGCAGTAAAATTGCTTTTTGATTTTGTCCCTTTCCTTTGTAGAGATTCTAAAAACACAAAAGTATTTTACCATCCGGTTTTTACATCCAAATTTCCAATACAAATTGAGTGTGATATAATATAGAGATCGTTGAATACCGCAAAATATAAACAATTATTTGAAAGTAAAAATTTACCTCACATATCTACGCCATAACTTATTGTTGTTCTCTTACACAATGCTGCCATCAGAGGCTATGGATGCTACAAATATCCCTGTTCGAAAAATATTCTCTTCTTCTTGTTGGTGAAATTTGCCAATATTATACGACCATAAGTTATCGACATCAATCAAGAATTTTCTCTACAACTGTCACATATATTTTTATTGTAATGACCCAAAAAAGCGGTCAATTTAAATTTTAGGAAAATGAAAAAATCAATCTACACAGTTGTTCAAACGATTTATGACCTTATTGAACAATTTGTCTGATATATTTAACTAGCAAATTATGGACAGTAGAGCAAGTAAGCCAACGAGCATTTGGATTCCTAATGTCGCCCAATTATTCTAATCCTACCTAGAAGTAGTATTCATGTACAAAATACACTGCAGTGAATGTAAACTTTGAATGTATAGTTTATGAAAGTTAAAATCGATACTTACCAACACCCTGCGAAGTATTTATATGACGCAAAAAAAAGCATGTTTGTATATTGTGTAATTTAAAACCATCAAATACAAAAGTACAAAAAAAATACTAAGATTAACGGACTAGACATGAAAATAATCATTTGAATAACGCGAAAATGGCCTTTTGCTATCACATAATACATTGACAGCACGATTTCTCAATATTGTATACAACAAATAATTGAAGGTTGAAGTTGAATAGATCAATCAATCAATATCATCACATTTAAATCAACTAAAAAAATCCGTTATAATAAAAACTTAATAATTCAAGTTACAATAGAATATGTATATAACCTAATAAGCACTGGCGCAATGTTTCAACTAGGGACTCGGTAACTTTAAAACCGACTGGTGCACATGGGTTTGCAATCTTAGCTTTTAACAATTTGGCAAATCCACCGGCTCGTCTGCTACTAATTACATGTTTTTAAACATGCTATTTTCTAGTCCCAAAGAACAAACCGACTCTGAGAACTGATAATAGGGATCTATTGCACCTTCTATTTTGGTGTAATTTTATTTTATCTCTATAAAGTCGTTTCTATGGTCGCTACATATTTGAGTCACTCCTATGAAGATTAATTTTTGTAACAGACATTTATAGTTTTCCATTTAGATTTTTAAAAAATGCGAAATATCGGAAAGTAAATGCAGTATAGCGATAATGACGACCCAATGCTAGTCTAAATCCTTTTTTAAATATTAATGTGAGATATAATTCATAATCAACAAAAATGTGGCATAAAATAATATTGCTTTAACGTTTACGATTGTTATTCACGCCAGGTGCCCTTCTGCAAGCGAAAGCTTTACATTTTCCATTGAATTGAATTAGAATAACGAAAGAAACCCAGGCTTAATCTAACCTTTCCTACGTCATCAAAAAAGTACGTGCCAAAACTAAAAATGTCAAAATAACGTCAGAAAAAATAAGTTATGACGGTTAATAACAAATAAAGTTTCATAAGAATGAAATCGAAGAGGCGCAAAAAATCCCTAATTTCTCAACAAAAGTGCAATTAGTTTACGTTTGTGTGATAAGGGCAAGTGTGAATTTTGTCCAGGGATGCCAATTGTTAAAAAGTAAAAGAACGCGATTTCGCGATAAGACGTTATATGATCTATAACGAAAAAAACATCTACGAGTTATTCACCAAAAAAACGGGGCTTTGCCAACATAAACTGTCAGTGCCAACTGTCGTTAATTAAAATACTATGCCGTGTGCAATCAGTTTTGTAAGTTACAGATCCCTGGTGTCACCAAATTTAAATTTATTACTTGGGGTTTAAATGTACGCCCATGGGGCCTAACATGTTGCTCGAGGGCCCAGCCTCCCCGATCTGCGACCTGTAACTCTCCAGGATATTCTTCAAGGCGTTCATGTCTATATCTACGGGTTTGAAATTTTCAATATCTTCGAACCCGTCGTCGTTCTTCTTCTCAAAGCTTTGCCCGATAGTGGTCGCCGCCAGTTCTTTGTCCATCTCGTCCATGTACGTCTCCATTTTGTTTTTAACATCCTCGCACGTTTCCGTGTTGACGTAATCGTCGTTTTCGTACTCGCTCATATCCGAACCCGAATCTAAGTCCCACGAGTCGTCCTCGGGTATTACGAAATTCAGGATGTTTTGTACTGCGCATGCGAACGAATTCGGATCGAAATTTACTTTATTATTCGAATTTTCCTTTTCTTTAGCATCCGAGGAGAAAGACACTTTGTTCTTGTTTTTTCGCCTCGCCGGTTTGACCGGGGACGATTCGGGGAACTCCGCCCCTTCGACGTCCGACACGTGACTAAGGAAAGCGTTCACTTTCTCGGCAAAAGTTCCCGCGTCGGAATCATTTGTAGCGCTGAACATTTTTCGCTGCCCGTATTTTTCCTGGAGCATTCTGTCCAGCTCCTCGGGGCTTATATTTAACCACGAGTCGTCGTCGTCTTTTTCTAAATTATCTCCTTCACTTTGAAACTGTTCAAAATTAATATCAATCGACTTCAGCAAGGACAACACTTCCTGACCAATAGCTGGGCAATAATGCATCGAGTCCCTGTAATCCGCGTAATATTCCTTGGCTCTGTTTAACAGGTTGTTATAATCTCTCGAGTGCTCGAGGAAACCTTTAAAATACCCCTTCTCCTTTAAATTTTCCAAATAAGTATGCCAGCCCTTATCCCCTTCGACGTCATCGCTCGGTTTGGCCTGGGATACGAGGATTTCAAAGCCGCAGGCAACTTTGACGCCCAAGACGTGTGTTTTATACTCTGGGTCACCTACTGGCAGCAAATTCCAACCGGTGCGGCGGTCAGGCACATATTTACTGTGCAATAACATCGCGTACAAGCACTTTGTAAAGGTCACCCTCGTCCTCACCCTTTGTTCAGGGGGAAAGTATTTCATGGCCCTACAAGCTTTCAAATCGAGCGGGTCTCGATTACAAAATGCTTGGACCGCTGGGGCGATTAAACTGGGCCTGTGTCTAAGAATGGCGGCCACCATGGTGGGAACGAGAATGGTGGTGCAGTGAAGATTGTCTTTTATGTTATCTGGGAAATTGCTAAGTTTGTTTTTAATTGAATTCTGAATCTCATCGGAAGTTAAAAATATTCCTGGGTCAGCCCAAATCATTGACAACGCTGTAGATATTGAAATGGACGGGTTTTCCGGATCCTCGGGGGGAATAAGGTGAAGTTTTCCATCATAAAAGTACACCTAGAATAGACGTAACATTAAATACTAAGGGGTGGTAGGATCTTCATTTAATTTTTGTTCAGATTCGTGAGGGATCTTGAAACCGCTAAAATTCATACAAATATCTTTAGGAACCTTAAAAAAAGACAACCTGCATATCGGTCGCCCAACTGTAATATTCCATATCTGCAAAAAGTGAATTTTACAGAAGAGACAAATATTATTTTAAACAAAAAGTTATTGGATTCATGGACCCAAACTTAAAAATAATAAGTTCATTTTTTACTAAACAGGAAATACAAACGAGAATTTTGCAGAATTTTGGGCAACCTAACAACCTTAATGCAATGAAAGTCTCAAAATGGTGAAATATTGAGTATTCTAGTTAGCAATATAGTTAATTGACAATTACTATATTAGTTAGTCTGTTTAATTCGACCATCAAAAAATTATGTGCAATATCTCCAATTTCTAAATTTTCCTTTTGTTTTACATCACCCTACACAACTTTCGAAGAACTTGCTGTAATTCAAGAATTACTAGTTTTGATTAACTAAAAGCAAAATATATGAGGAAGGAGGACATATAAATGTTGCATACAAATATAAGCTTAAAAAGCAATTAAAACACAAATTGGACCACTATCGCAAATTTACTTTTTTTTTGGTTCCAAATGATTTTTAATAGAGAAAACAGATAAAAACAAACCAATTTAAAAAACAGCCATTCAATGTTTCACATTACAAATGATAGTTTTTGCATATCACTTACCCTGTTTTCACAAGTGTCGGGATTTGCCCAATTTGGTAAAAAATCTGCTGCTTCAATCAATAAAAACTCCCCATCCGAGTCATAAATTCTCCCAATTGTTCCTGTGACCTCACGAGTGAGCTCTCGAAGAATGAATACCATGAACCATTCGTCCTCAATATTATCTCCATAATGCGACACCCCATATAAATGAGGTGGTAAAATGTCTGAAAGGCGTTTTGTTAAATTTCATGAATTTATTTAATGAGTCGAATTAATTTGAACTGCAAAATTGTAACAACGCAAACATGATCTTACCGTTTTTGTCCTCTATGTGCCTCAAATAATTACTATGACTTGTTCTTATGGTGAGTTTAAACGCATCTTTATGCCACAAGTAATTTTTTGCATATTTCTCGACGATTTTATTCGCTTTTTGTAATACAGTATTTAAAGTCGTCTCTTGATCTTTTTCATCTCTGGAATCTATTGAAGGAAACAAATAATATTCAACAAAATCGTCTGCTCGTACTAACTGCAGTGCATTTTTAATGCTCGTCATTTTATGTATATAATAAAATTTGAATCCCAAATAATGACAGTAAATTATAGTTATAAACAGAATTTAGAAGAAACAGGATTGTTCAGACCGATTCAGACCCTTGAAAGTTTTCATCCACAACCCTAGCCAACTTAACAACGGTCACTTGCCCAATGCTAATTTTTGTCGAGATTTAACCATAACTTATCGCGTAAAAGTAAATTTTTGGCCCGAAAAATCTTCTTTTAAACCAACAAGAGTACATATTATCTATATTATATCAAACTTCAGTAAATAGTTCAAACCTCTAAGATATATCAGGGAACATTGCACAACCCACCAATCAACACCTGTTAACTATGATTGCTAAGCCTACCGCGTTGATTTAAATATTCACTTAAGTTAAATTTCAATTTTTCTCTTCTGTTTAATAGAATTTCTCCGAGAATAAAAATGTCTCTTGACGCGATAGAAGAAATTCACGTTTCTGAAGCAACAACTGAAGCACGCACCGAGGAAGAGTGTTCGGAAAACTTAGAGGAAGAAGAAACATTTTTTCAAGATATCGATATGCTTTTGGAACACAACATACCCCTAGAAGACGTTAAACTTCTAAAAAAAGCAGGAATAAATACCATAAAGGGCATCCAGATGTGTATTAGAAAGAAATTGCTAAGCATTCCTAATTTTAACGACGCCAAAATTGATAAAATCAAGGAAGCATGCTGCAAGATTGCCTCAAACAGCGGGTTCATGACCGCGCTGGAAGTTTGCGATCAGAGGAAACAAATATTTAAACTAAGCACGGGCAGTTCCAATTTCGAGTATTTTGAAAAGTTACAATGCCCATCGCCCCGTTTTCTAGTTTGTAATGTATTTTTCAGTCATTTACTAGGGGGCGGCATCGAATCTATGGCCATAACGGAGGTTTTTGGAGAGTTTCGTACGGGAAAAACGCAGTTGTCGCATACCTTGTGCATTACGGCGCAAATGCCGGGGCCCAACGGGTACATCGGCGGTAAGGTCGTGTTTATCGATACTGAACACACTTTGTATCCTTTTATTTGCTTTTCTATTTTTTGATTTTGGTGATTGCTCTATGGCGAAAACGTTATATAAGGGATTTAGACTGGGCTAACAAAATCGACTATTTTTTTTACCAAAAAAACTACCACTAAAGTAATACCAATGAGAAAAGGTCTTGGTCTCATTATTAAGTCAAAACAGTCAAACAAGCGTTTAAGGAAAAAATGTTTATCAGAATATATTTTGTAGGAAATTAAATTCTCTATAAAAAAACTCTGATTGAAATTTTTCATCAGATGAGCCACATTCAATAAATCAAAGGTTAAACATTAATAAGTTTCTCTTTTTGGAATTTTGCAACTAACAAACTCAATATACAAAAAAGAACAATACTGATTTCTAATCTCCCTTAATACTTTTTTACAAAGTTATTTTTTAAAATATAACACAACAAAAACACAATTTTGTTGTTTTACTATTAGAATTTATTTATTTACAATATTTGACACATTTGCAAAAAAGAAAAAGCAAATAAATATCGTATATCGCGTTTGTTATTATTACTAAAAGAAACAATTTAAAATTATATTCATTTGGTAAATATGTGAAAAATCAATCATATATTTTTTACCATTATATTATGACCTTAATAGATACTCCTGTTTATATCCACTCTGCGAATGTAGGATTGTTACGGTCTGTACTGAATTTATTCGGATTTAAGGCCTTTATTTCGTCAATAATGCACTGTCTATAATACCCTATATTTGTGATGCCGTTTCTCTCAGCTGTAATTTAATTATATAATTATCACATACTTCTCTTGAAGTTAGTTCGAATCGTTTTCACAGGGTGAGTTAAAATGATATATGTTGATGATTAATTTTCGTAAAAAAATCAAATGGAACACCATGTACTTCCATTACTTACTCCTACACAAAATTTAAAATTTACCTATTTATTTAAATTGGCTTATTGAGATATTTTCTCATAATTTGAAAAATTTTAAGTTTAAGTATAGGGTATGCTTAATAAAATTGAATATATATATATATATATATATATATATATATATATATATATATATATATATATATATATATATATATATATATATATATATATATATATATATGTATATAATTTCAATTTTATTAAGCATACCCTATACTTAAACTTAAAATTTTCAAATTATGAGAAAATATGGATATGGCGTCAAAAATATAGTGTTAAACAGTTGAACGAAAAAATAGCCATAAATCTGAAAAAAGGTAGAGAACATAACAATCCTCGTTTAAATAAATGTTTGGTTTATAACATATTTACCTCACCTTGTATATTTGAAAATAATTTTAAATTGTTTCTTTTAGTTTTATCTATGTAATTAACATTTTTTTCTAAAACAAATAATAAATGAGATATATTACTTTAACACACTATTTAGACACCCTGTAGATATATAACCATCAAGTGAATTAATCTTCCCAGCTAGTTTTTAAACTTCATTTGGTGATTGTATTGCTGATATAATTTATGATGATATAGAATAGGAATTTGATTTCTCCAAAGAAAAAAACAAGAATTCATTTTTTTTAAGCTCATGGTGAATAATTTTTAAGAAAATCGTTTTAAAAAACAATATCGTTACTTTTGTATATTGAATTGAGAATTCGTGTGGCTCAAAGATATTAACATTAAGGGCTCAAAGTGTCACGATTTGATCGCTATATTTTTCAAAATAGTCGGTAGGTGTTCCCTGGTTAGGGATGTTCCGATACCATTAAAGTATCGATACCTACTCATTTCGATAGTACTCAAATCTTTTTTCGATACTACTCAAATAAATACTCCTAAAGTATCGATACTTACTCATATCGATACTTTACTAGCACTTAATTTTTTATTTATTTTAAGGAAACTAACAACGAACGTTGAAAGACAATAATTAAAACAGAATTAAGAAGGAAAAGAAAACTTTTATTATAAACGTTTGCGTCCTGTTAAGCACGTACTTTAAAACAAAAAACTCCATGATAACATTGGAATGATTACAATAAATAAAATTATTCGTAAGCAATCTCTTGTATATTTGACAATTTATGTTGGTTGACAACGAAAAAAAAAATGAAGGGCGGACGTCTTTCTCGCGTTTGGCTCGGGCTCGGTCGAGTGAAGTCGGACGAGTTCGGCTTGGCTCGCGCGAGACCACGCGTCACCACAGATCAGATAGAGATTATGTTTGTGTGATGCATTCGGTTTTTTTTTAATGGTGAGGCTGATTCGATTTGATACCAAGTACTTTTGTTTCGATACCGAGTAAGTATCGCAAGATTGATTCGATGCTATAAATACTTGGTATCGAATCAAAAGTGTCGAGTATCTACTCGTATTTACTAGTATCGGAATATCCCTATCCCTGGTATTGCAGTCTGGTAACGTCTTTATATACAAAAACAAATAATACTTATAACCCAAATATTTTGATACTTTTTCGTTAACGAGCCGTTAGTCGTCCGGAAAGGTTGCGCACCATAGCCGAGAGGTTCGATTTGGACCAAACCGCCGTCTTGGAGAATATTTTGTACGCCAGAGCTTATAATTCCGAACATCAATATGAATTGTTAAACAAGTAAAATGTTAAGATATAAAAATGCGGTTTCGTCCGTAATTCGGAACGTTTTTTTATAGCGTGGCCGCCAAATTTCACGACGAACCCGGCATTTTCAAACTCCTAATTGTCGACTCAATCATGGCACTGTTTAGAGTTGATTTCAACGGCAGAGGTGAAATCGCCGACAGGCAGGGAAAGCTGGGGCAAATGATGTCTCGATTACAGGTAAACAGACTATATATAGAGCGTGGTCCCGAATTACAACGGAGAAAATCTAATAGCGTATTTAGCAGATAAGTAAAAAAGTTCAAATAAAGTTATGTCTAAAAATGCTTCCCTTTAGAGATAAAAAAATCGTTTTCTCATATTTTTAAAAAACAGATTTTGCTTTCGAACTTAGTAGCCACTTAAAATCAAATTTATTGAAAGGTAAGGTTGTTTGTGGTTAACCAGTGGCGTTCGCTGTTGTGATTACTTGTGAAAATGCTATATTCATTTGATTGATATTGATGAAAATCAGACAAATTACAATCAGTTAATAGAAGAAGTCAAAGACAAAAAAATTACGATGAAGAAAATAATAATAAGAGATGAAGAAAATTACAATAAAGAGACAGAAACAGACGAATATGAAGTAGGTGGAATAAATGAATCAGAAGATGATAATGATGGAATAGAGTCAGAAAGTTTAAATGATAAAGACAGAAATGTAACAAAAACTGAGACATCAAGAAATGGAAGAAAGATAAACACACCAAAACATCTTAGTGAGTATAAAATTTATTCAGCATATTGTTTGCTAACATCACAGAATAATCCAAAGAATTACGATGAGGCGATAAAAACAGTTGAATGGAAGGAAGCTATAAAAAAGGAATTGCACTCGCATGAAAAAATGCAAACCTGGACTGAAGTGCAATTACCAGAAGGTAAAACACCGATACAGTCAAAACGGGTATTTAGAACAAAAGAAGATGGCATAAAAAAGGTTAGAATAGTGGCTAGATGTCTCCAAATTAAGGAGAAGCATCTTTTTGAACCAGTTTACGCTCCTGTAGCACGTATGGCAACAATAAGAGTTTTATTCTCCATAGCACTACAGAAAGATTGGAAAATAAAACAGTTAGATATTCCTAGAGCTTTCTTAAATGGGACATTAGAAACTGAGGTTTATGTATATCCACCTGAAGGTCTTCAAACAAAATCAACAGTTTTAAGATTAAATTGAGCTTTATATGGTCTTAAAGAGTCTCCAAAAGTTTGGAATGAAACTTTTAATAATTTTGCTGTTGAAAACAATTTTCAGAGATGATTGCTGCTTGTACTGTGGTAAAAATAACTGGATATTATTATATGTACACGACATGTTAGTACTGGGAAAGAATGAAAACATTGAAGAAACAGTATTTTTACTAAAGAAACATTTTCAAGCAAAAAATATGGGAGAAGTCAAGAATTTCTTAGGGATGACAATAAACAGAAACGAAGATCGAGGTAAACTAGAAATAAAAAAAACAAAATTTATTGAAAAACTATGGAAAAAGGATTTCAATATAATGAAAATAGTGAGATTGTGAATGTTCCTTGTGATTACTTGTCTTTTATCCACTGTAAAAGGTGAAGAAAAAACGTCGTTGAACAGAACTTAACCTAACATGAGAGAGAGTGTTAATTTAAAATTAGTGTATTCATTATTAATAAAGTTATTTTAGTTTAATACATCCGTGTGTTCGTAAATTCACAATATTTGCGAAGCCATTTTGATTAATTTAAATGATAAAATTGTTAACAAAATTTGTTTATTATATAATTTAATTAAAACGGTCTCGCGAACGTCTCTGGTTAAACAAATCAAAAGCTACAAATTTGTTCTTACGCGGTAATAACACCTACTAAGTTTCAAAGTAAAATCCAGATTTCTTGTTTGAATAAGAAAGGACGATTTTTCTGAATATTTCAACACGACCCTGTATATCCGAGACGAAACATTTTTGGATACAACTCTGTATAGCAGATGTTACAAAACTCGAAGCTCACCATCACAAACTCGAAAACAAAATACAAAATTGAGTTAGATCTCATTTAATTTGCTTATTTGTTTTCCACTAGGGGAAAATATACGAAAGCAAAAAAAAATTGGAGTTAATAATTTTGCTTTAATTTTACACATAGTGCGTGACCTATTAAAATTTCTAGAGTTAACACCCTTTGATATTTTGTTTGTTTTTATTTTTAAAAATCGTAGAAGGGGAAGCACAGACGTTAACAAAATCCTCTTAGAGCTTTGAATATGATATCCGAACCTATACGGTAGTCGGGTCGGGATTCTAAAGTTGACATTCCCTTTGATTAGATATGACAACGCTGCATTTGCGAAAATATTTTCGAAATACAGATTGTCGCCTATTATTGGTGTATACCAATTTCGAAAATTTCATTTGTTAGTTCTCCAGAACTCAGGACACACTCAATACTGTCTTAAATATTTTAAATTGTAAAGTTTGTTTTAGTTATAATTTAATGAAGTTTGAAATTTTTAAACGAACACCCGGAAACTATTTTTAGAAAATTAGCGAAGAATACAACGTGGCGGTTTTCGTGACAAATCAAATTACGACGGACTTTAAATACGCATTAACTAACGAATCCGAATTCAAACCCGTCGGCGGGAATATTTTAGCACATGCGTCGACTACCAGAGTTTCCCTCGAAAAGGGTACCAAAATACACATTTCGGAAAGCCAGCAACGTACTTATTGCTGTTTTCTAGGCAAAGGCAACAAAAGGACCGCCAAGATTTACGACAGTCCCGATTTGGAAGAGAAAGAGGCGGTGTTCGCGATCACCAGCGGAGGAATCGATGATCCCAAAGATTAATTTCCATTAACAAGCCTAAATATAAGCATTACAGTGAATGTTTTTAGATTTTGTTTTGGAAATAGCAAAAAACTTCAAAAGTAAAAAATATCCACTTTTTCTGTTCTATAGTACCATTGAATGTTAAATCTGACGTTTCGGCTTCTGGCGACCATCATCGAGCTATTTTTTTTAAATACGGACCTGACTTTTTTCAATTTAATTAAATCCTATCATTCTTAAAACACTGTATATCGTCGCTTTGATATTTGCCGACGTTTCGTACAGAAAATCTGTTATATTTATTTAACCATAATACGGCCCGAACTACATTTTTAGGTGAGAAAGTAAAAAAAAAGATAAATAATAAAAATAAAAATAATTTAATCACTATAAGTGGTCAAAGAGATAACTTGCCTCGATGCATTTTCTTGCCTTGCTTTACATTTTTAATACAGCTGAATTGTTCTCGCAGGTATAACAGCGACTTTCCTTATCAAATTTTGTCGTAGTACTTTAAGGTTGTGAGGTATATTTAAAAAAAAGGGCTCTGAATATTTCCGCAAAGGAAAAAATCAAGGGATATGTTAGAAAACCATTGTTTCCTATCCATTTATTATGAAATACATGGTTAAGGAATTGAACAACTTCCCTTCTACTATGGGCAGAAGCTCCCTCTTGCTTCCACCACAATTCTTGCACTACCCCTAAAGATTGATTGTCTCGAGCGTCTAAAAAATAATTTCTAATCAAGTTTAGATTTGGAAGTTAAGGTCCCGTAGTAAATGAAAGGCCCAATAATTCTGTTCCTCCACATTTCAAGTCATACATTGTATGAAGTTCACCTTTGAATTTGTACCTGCTGGATTATTCTTAGATAATCAATAGACAATTACTATGGAACGGACATGTGATGAGAATGGAGCAGGACAGGTGTCAGAAAAAAGCACTACTGTACCATAGAAGAAGAAGAACACCGTTAAGGACCTGGAAGGAAGGTATAGAACAGACAACGAAATGCGGGATGCGGCAAAGAACCACACAATAGACAATGTTCATTGTTTCTATTGAATAATCCGCTAGTTGACAAGCTGCATTCATCCGTGAATCATGAAGGCAATCCACATTTTTATCTATTTTTGGAACTAACTAGTTAAAAAACGCCAAGCACCTTTCATTATCTCCTGGCCTGAGTGCTTGTATATTTTAAACGCTTTGTAGCCATGAGAATGTAAAGTATTTTGTAAACGTTTTCTGTTTGTTGAGTTCATGAACAAATTCTCTAGTTAATTCCTTTTTCCTTGAAAAACAAAAAATAAACTTCATTAATATGTTGTCCTTCAGCAGTTACATCGGATCGATATTTTCTTTTTGGTTTATGAAACTACCATAATATAAATCATCATCATCATACTCAGTTTTAGAGTCTAAATTGTTGTTGAATTTTTGATAGGCTTGATGTTAAGTAGATTTTCATGGATGGATTGTAATCTAATTTTTTAATTGTAAAATAGGATATTAATTTGACTAAACTCGCTTCAAAATTTTCACTTTAATTTTTTAAAATACTGAGTGCAAGTTTTTTTTCAAGGACAACACCCTATTTCATTTTTGAATGCCAAAGTGTGAACACTTAATTTTTCCAGACGACAGTGAAAAAAATCTTAACTAATGTATCAAAGATCACGATCCTTTATATAATTCTTTTGAATGAATACCAGGAAGACACTATCGGTAGGTCTTTCTGCTCATAGATTTTTTTTTTAAATATAATATGTAAAAATACAGGCTGCGGCAAAATGATAGATACTCTTTGGGATGTTAATTAAAACCAAACTACATAAAGCAAACTTTTTTTAATGCCATTTAGGAACGTTATTTTTTAAAAATGATGTCTTTTAAATGACGGCCGTTATTGTCGATGAACCCTTGTAGGTTCTCGCGGAAGCGAGTTGTTCAACTCGTTCATCTCAATTGTTAAGCATATCAAAATATCGATCTTCGTTGACTGTTACCGTTATTCCATCTTCTTCGAAAAAGTAAGGACCCCACACGCCGAACTCCGACCTTGCACACCAGACGGTGACTTTTGAACTGTGAAGAGGTCGCTCATGAAGTTCCTGTGGACTATTTGCTGACCAATAACGGAAATTTTGTTTCACTAGACATAAATACAGCGCCTCTGGGAATGTTTTCAAAAACATCTCAGCATAAATTTATACGGGTATCAAAATCTCTTGCGCTTAATTCCTGCACTACCATCATTTTGTACGGATGCATTTGGAGTGAGTTGTGTAAAATTCTTCGAATACTTATATCGGGAATTCCCAAAGCAGCTGCATGCTTACGAGCTGAACGTCTTGGAGACTATTGTACGTTCACATTTTCCAGTGTTCTTACTGTCCTTGGTCGGCCAGTAGATTTTTCGGTTAAGCGCAGAACCTGTTTCCCTGAAGTGTAAAACAACATCAAACTGATTACGAAAGGCGCGCTGCGTCGCTATTACAGGTTTCCCATTTCTAATAAACTCCTCGACAACGAAAGCACGATCCACTCCGCTCCAACCCATGTCGATAACTGAATATTGCATACTTTTATCTGCCTAACGCGAGTGCGTACACAGTGTTGCCGGTTTTACAAACCAACAGCCACTATTTGAAATCTTGCTTACCTTTTTGCCGCACCCTGTATAACCAATTTTCTAAGCGTAAATAAAATTCGTATTCGCCCCAGATTTTTGAATGAAACAAGTATATATTAAAATATCCACAAATAACAATTAATACAAATAAATATACATCTCGAAGTCCGAGAAAATGGCGGGCTAGTGTACAAATAAAATCGACTTGGTCTAAAGCTAAAAAATAAAACGTAAAAAATCGACTGTAAAAATGTGCTCATCGACAACGAATAATTTCGGAGGTCCGAAAAGACTAACAAAAATCAACCTCGCTCATATCAGAACCAGGCGGTTTTGGGGAGGAAAGTGCACTAAAAAATACATATCACAATTGAGATAAATATGGCGGATTACATATATAAATATATACAAAGCGGTACCCCATTCTTTGGCTAGAAAAATTAAACTTTCGCCCCCGTTTCCCGTCCCACCCCCCGTGAGGCATATATAATTCTTAAACCTGTAAACCCTTGAGCCTCAGGCTATTTAGCAGATCTGTCTCTTTTTTTTCCTTTTGCCGATTGCGTTCCTGATACTCCAACCTGTTCCGTATGATCCGTTCGACGATCCTTTCGGTCGTCATATCGTTCCCTGTAATCAAATTACAATATGTAATATTTTTTGTTTTATGGTAATAACGGTTACGTTTCGTCGTTTTTTATAGAACCGCTGTACACTTAAATGGACCGTCTTATAAAATTAAATTCTAGTCCCATATAAAAATGTTACTCCCCATTTATTTGTAACTAAGAGCTAACTATTGGGCCTTACTTTTGTAAACCATAAATAAGTATTTATAAAAACCAAACACCCTTTTTTTCTACATAATTTATTTACAAATATATTTTACATCGTGTTTTTGTTATTGCATTTTGATTTCACTCTAAAGTTAACAATGATTAATTTATACTTCGACATTATCAAAATGTCTTATTAAATATAATTATTAAAAAACTATGAAAATTGTATATTTATATAAAATATATAATTTTATACAGGATGTCCAAATAGTGTGTCAAAATGTTAAATACAAAAGTTATTGTTTACTAAAAAAGCGGCAAATCATTTTGTCAAATATACAGGGTGGTTCATAAATATATGGGAAATCAAACATTTTTTGAAATGGCATTAACATAAATTCCCTTTTATACTTAATCACTTAATACTGAGCGTTTTCGAATTTATGGCCGCATTTTTGTCAAAAATTTCATGTGATTATTTTATTATGTCAACAATTTTATAAAGTGGTAGTCATTTATCCTATACTTGTCTTGAAGTTAGTTAATTAGTACTATGAATGATTTTTCAATTTTATTAAGCAAATATACACTTAGAAATTTTTTGAGGTATAGACATTTTTACGAACAAAATATTGAAAATTTTCAAACCGTTCGAAAATATCAAAAAACATTCAGAACAAAATAAATATTACTTGATCGTGAAAAGTCTACAGAGACGAGTTAAATACAATTCTTTCAGATAATAGGATTCATTACATGTTAATACAAAACGTAAAGCGGAAATATTTTATTAAATCCGAGATTTAAACAAGATTAAAATTATGAACTGTATTTTACAATTAGGATAATATTAACAATGGAATATTGAATATTGCTAATAGTTCCAGAAAAAAACACTTAAACTGCAAAACCAAAAAGAACTGTTTAATTAAGTTTCACTTTATTTATAGCTTGAAGTGTCTTTCACTGACTTCAATAGATGCTCTTTAAACGATTGGGAAACTTTCATTTGCACTAAAAAACGTGATCTGAGAACATTACTTATAGTTCAATAATATTTTGGGCTTAAAGAAGGGTTAAATTTCTAAATTAATGGAAAGAAAGGAAACTTTTTTTACAAAATTAAAAATTGACAAACTTCCTAAGTTTTTTTGTAAAAATGTGTATAGCCCAAAATATACTAAGTATAGGTACAGGGAATGTTTATTAATATTGAAAGCGCCTTAATAAGAGTAATTAATGGAAGTATAATAAACAGGGTGTTCCATTTGATTTTTTCGCGAAAATTAATATTTTTCATTTTGAGTTATCCTGTATAAAGGTTTCGAACTAACCTTAGGCCAAGCATAGGATAAATGATTTTATTTTATAAAATTGTTGGCATAACAAAATTACAGCTGTCGAAAATGGAGTCAAAAATATAGTGTTAAACACAGGGCATTTTTGAAGAAAAAATTGACATAAATCCGATAACAATCAGTAGAAACCGTATTGAGGGACTAAGTATAAAAGGTCGTATCTACTAATGCAAAATATAAGTTTGGTTTTCCACATACTCATAAATCACCCTGTACAACTTCTGTATTTAACATTTTTTCTAAAAAAAATAATAACTGAGTTATACTACTTTGATACACTATTTGGACACCCTGTATCTGCACTGAAGCGCCCACGTTTCAAACACTTTAAATTTTGGCAAAAATTTGAAATGTAAAATTATGTACAATGATTTTTTTTAATTAAAATTTTTAATAGTATATATATTGTCTTCAAGTTTCGGGAATATATCAAGGGTTTGGTTATGTGAATTTGAAAAAGACATAACAATATTAATATTAATTAACTTTATAATCTTTTTTATAACCTGTTTTATCGCACTACTGCTTTTGCAATAAAACTTAAGGTTTATAAGCTACGAAAAAGGTATTTATACAAATCTTTGCAACCGGTATAAGTAACCACAAAAAGCAATTGAAAACTGTTAGTGTGCCAAACGCCAAACGTCAATTACGAAATCAAAACCTCAATTTTCAGTTGTTTATTTATCGCTAGCATCAAAATTGCTCAAACCAAAGCAGTTGGAGCTCCTTTCAAGGGTGTTGAAGAACAAAAGGGCGCTGTTTTGGCCCCTTCCGAGTCAAAAATGGAGACAATTTGATCCTGGATCAGGATTCAGTGTGGTAATCAATTTTCGCACACTTTCTATAAAAGCTCTTATTACATTTAATTTTTTGCCCAATTTTCTTAACTTAAACATCAAAACCTGAAAAACCTGAAAAGGCGGCCTCCTACATAGTCCAAGATTAATTACTTTTTATAGTAACTGTAAAATGTTTATCACGTGCTTACAGAGTATGTTATAAAAACCTCTACAGTAAGGGTGATAACAAAACTGGATGTTTTACTGTTAAACTGGATGCCTTATAAAACTTCTATAAAATCTATAAAAACTGTTATAAAGATTAAGATTCCTTACGCATCCCATACAAATATCCGATATCTTTTAATAAAACTTTAAACTGCGAGTCGTTCCTACCTGAGTCCAAACTGAGAAATTTGTTGATCGCCTTCGGATACCCGAACGGATCCGCCTCGTCCACGTCGGCCATTACGGGCGTCAGACCATGGACCACAAGGTCAACTTTGAAATGGTCCATGAGGTCTTTTGTAACTTTGTAAGGGGCCCCGATAACAACCTCGGAGACGTACTTGCAGGCGAGCACGCTGAGAACGCGCTCGTGCAAGTTCATAATCGGGTAATTCGAACCCTTATAACGATTCACTACCGGATCGGTATGGAGCCCCACTATCAAATAATCACCCTAAAATAAGAAAACCAAAAATCGAACGATTTGCTTAATCATACCAAATTATTATTAGTTTTGGCAAGTATCTCCACTAATTATAAGTGAGTCAAAGGTTATTGATGGAAACAGTGCCTAAAAAAATTCCAGACTTTCCCTGATCCTTTAGGAATACCCCGACCTTTTTAAGTTGTTCTTTATGTTTCTTTGTTTTGTATATTTTCATTTAAAACATTTTAATTTATCTTGATTACTTACTATTCCGCCAAGTAAGTTTGATCTTTTGTGACTTATGCTTTAATTTTTAAGTATCCACTAATTATAAGTGAATCAAGGGTTACTGTTGGAAGCACTGCCCCGAAAACTCCAGACTTTCCCTGATCCTTTAGGAATACCCCCACTTTTTAAGTTGTTCTTTATGTTTCTTTGTTTTGTATATTTTCATTTAAAACATTTTAATTTATCTTGATTACTTACTATTCCACCAAGTAAGTTTGATCATTTGTGACTTATGCTTTAATTTTTAAGTGTATCCACTAATTATAAGTGAATCAAAGGTTATTGAAAAAAAAATTAGATCGCTTTTAGTGGCAATTATAACGCTAAATAATAATGATTATGTTTTATTCTCTCGGAGCAAAGTCTATGCATCAATCATCAATAAAACTGGACTGTATTTATATATAGGTCTAGACCTAATAGTAAAAGAAACAACGTTTTGCTTGTAGTACGAGTTTGATTTTGCTTTGACTAAGTTACTAGTTTCAAAAAGAAAAAATGTTATAAGCGGTCTGTAATGAATAGGTCGGAAGAAGGTAAAGGTTTAATAAAATTTTGGTTGCGAGAAGTTTTGTTTTTGGCAAATTTATTCCAACTCTCAGTAGTATAGGTGCCACATGGCTCTCGAGAAATATTTAGAAAAATACAATGAATATTTGAAAGCGTCTAGACAAGAAACAATGCAATAATTGTGAAGAACAAGCTCTTTCTGTGATCAGTTGAACTTCAATTTGGTTACTAGCAATTTTTATGCGGAGTTGGTAGAATAATATGCAAGAGGTGCATTTAAAAAGCGACTTTTTAGTTATATCAAAAAATAATTATTTATTCATCAAAATTAATGTTCTCCCCTTCAAAGTAATTCCACCCAGACATTGTGCCAACGTTTTTTCCAATCCTCGAAGCACTTTTGGTAAACACTTTCTGGCACTGAGTTCCTCCGGCGATTTTTGCTTTACATAATCAATCGTTCCAAACCTCCTCCTTTTATAGATTTCTTGAGTTTTAGGAGCAGGAAAAAGTCGCAAGGGGCCATATCCGGTGAATATGGTGACTCCCGCATGATTCTGGTTTTGTTTTTGGTCAAAAAGTTAGACACAATCAATGATGTGCATTATCGGGATGCAAAATTTGTGAATTGTTTTCCCTCAATTCTTAATGTTTTCTTCGTATTACTTCTCGGAAACGGCGCATAACCTCAAGTTCTCTTTATTGACCGCGCGACCTTGTGGTAAGAACTCTTGACGTAGTATATGATAACAAAGGAAAACAGTAAGCAAAATCTTGACATTTGATCGAACTTGGCGGTCTTGGCGATTCTGGGTTCTTCCTTTGGGACGACTGGACTAAGGGTCCCGATATGCATTACTACATACCCACGATTCATCACCAGTTACGACCTTTTTTGAGGATTATCATTGGCGGTGCTGTAACAGTTTTTGAGCGATACTCCTTCGACTGTCCTTTTGTTTAAAATTGCATGGCACGAGCCTATAGAGATGTTTCACTCTTTTAACGCCCTCATCAGTTATTGACGTTTTGGTCAAAGCTGATTCATTATATGCCGCTGTCAACATTTCAAGTGTTTTTACAACGCTATATTCTTTTCTCGCGCTATATTCTCATTTTTATTGACTGCAGAAAATCGTCGAGCACACAAAACACATCTAAGGCTTCTGTATCATAAAAAAACAGTGAGTGAACTTGTGTACCAACATAATAAAATAAATATCGAAGATCGAATATAGTTAGCCGGCCATTTAAAAAAGTCACCTTACTGTTTGAACACACCTTGTACACCATACGGTAAAGGGGTTTTACCAGGGTCAAAGAGTGACGTCTGCTATAGCAATCTTATTAAGCAAATAACGCAAAAAAAAAAAAACAAATCTACCAATAGACGCTTTCTCAAGTTCCCTTTCTAAAAATTTATTAAACTTAAAACATTTTCCGAATATTCATACTCAAATGAATAACTGAATCCGTCCATTTTTGGCAGAAAATCTGAATTACATGGGAATACTGCAACATAAAAACCCAAAGCAAAAATATTAATTTAAACAAAATACCTACTAAAGTTTATTTTTGACAAATTTAAGGTCGCTTTTTCACATTGGTGAGAATCCATGATAAATGGAAAAAGTTGATCCAGGAAAAGAATGGAAGACCACCAAAACCCTTTGAAAAATGACCAAGTACATAAAGAGTACAGAAAAAAAACCTGTACAATAAATAGATATATTGTACCTGTTGTTTAGCCTTTTCGAGGAAGTCAAGATGGCCGACGTGGAACAAATCGAAAGCGCCTGCAACGTAGACGATCCTGTCGCCCTGCTTGGGGCTTTTACCATCAGAAAACTGTATAATTTTTTGAGTGGTCGGCAAAAACTGCGAGCAACCGGTCCACGGGGACCTAGCCAATGAATCTTGACCCATCGTTGATGAGTGCTCTCTTTCAACATCGTACTCATACTGACCTTGGCGGAAATGGTTGCGTGTCAACAGGAGCATCCGTCCTACTAAGTCGGTCGTCGAGACGCCGGCCGTCCTTTGGACTTCCCTACAATGGAAAAAGATCTATAAAATCATTCCAACAGCACGACCTCTTAATGTTAAAAGTAAAAAAATTGCAAATTATCTAAATGCCAGCTGATAGCTGGTTTCATTTGTTTAATGAGAATAAGTTTAAGATCTCATTACCATGTTCAGTCACATCACATTTTTTACCTTGCCAGCCACTTGGCTTGGGAAAAATAAACTGTGTTAAAACAGAGGGAGAATTATTTAAGACACAATTAATCATCTGAGTTGCTAATTACCGATTTGAAATTAATAATCCTACAGGGTTGCCATGAAATTTACAAATTACTAAAACTAAGCACCATCTTTCACCTGAGTAATAAACTTAATAGAATCTCCCAACCTATACTCATATGTGTTGTTACAAACCATTTAGAAGAAGATGCAAGAAGAAACTCATATTTTGCTAATTTTTAGGATACCATCTGTTTACAAAATCTCTATTTAGTTGGATTCTTTTAAGTGCAATATAATTTTTGGCAATTTATGCCTTTTGAATATTTGAAATAATAGCGTATATCTATAAGAACTATAACATATTTCATACAAATGCTTGTCATACATACACAGTGAAGATAATCTTAAAAAAAAAAAAAAATTAAAGGTAATTTCCAATATTCAGGATTTTTTATGTAAGAGTTATTTGTGCTGACTTTTCATCTTATTATTTATTGTACTTTTGCACTTCAGAATTAAAATTGAAATACATCTTTTTAACAAGTTGGTTACATTAAATATCGCTAAGGAAAAATCTCAATGATGGTGCTTGTTTGTGTTTTATTTTTCTACTACTAATAAAAATGTAGGAAATAAGTTGCCACTTATTTTAAGAAAAGTACATGTAGATTATGAGCAAAAGCTAATTTTTAGGATACCATCTTTTTGTAAACAAGTGCCTAGACCTGTTTGCAAAATGTCTATTAAGTTCGATTCTTTGAAATGCAATATAATTTTTGCCAATTTATGCCTTTTAAGTGTTTGAAATAATAGTGTATATCTTCAAGAACTATAATATATTTCAAACAAATGCTTGACATACTTACACAGTGAAGATAAAAAAAGATAAATTTTCAAGATGATATCCAATATTCAGATTTATTTTATGTAACAGTTATTTGGGCTGACATTTCATTTTATTATTTATTGCACTTTTGCACCTCATAATTGAAGATGAAATATATTTTTTTAACAAGTTGGTTACATTAAATATTCCTAAGAAAAAAATTCAATGATGGTGCTTGTTTAGTTTTATTTTTCTACTACTAATAAAAATGTAGGACAAAAAATTGCCGCTTCTTTTAAGAAAAGTACATTGTACATGTAGATTATGAGTAAAAGTTAATTTTTTTAGCATACAAATCTAGCAGCCATATAATTTAGCTAGTCTATACTATCATCTATGCAATAACTAATAAAAAATAATAATAAACTAATTAAAATGTCAATTAAATTTAATAACATAAATTAAATTAATTGAAACCTGTTATTTATAGACAGTACCCTATGTTTATTAATTTCCAACATGCAATAATTTTTGATAACTAAATCCCTATATCAGATAGGATGTCTATTTACTTCGCAATACAATTTAAAAGCGCAACAATGGAGTACAAAACTGCAGCTTAATCAAATTTAAGGACCCATTGTTTCAAAGAATTGAAACAAAATGCAATAAAAACTGCTTTAAAAACCTGTATTTTCCGGCTTCTTTAACTTGGTGGTATGTATCCACACCTTCCGCCGTCATTGTAATATCGTCTCCATGAACACAAAAGTCGCAATTATATTTGTCCAAGGTTTCTAAAGTTGTTACGTAGGGTGCACCTTCTACAACTTCATCTACCCATTTTATTCCTCTCACCATTTTATATCTTTAAAAAATTATAATACAGTGAAAGTGACTATACATTTCAAAGAGACAGAGTTACCTCTCCTGTTCTGTGAAAACGGGGGGCCCTTTGTGTTTTGTTATTTCCTCATCTGTGTGGACACCGACAATCAAATAATCACCAAGAGCTTTTGCCTGCCTTAAGGAATTGGCATGGCCAAAATGAACCATGTCGTAACTGTCAACAAACAAGAAATATAACTTTGTAAAAACAACTCACAAGTAATTAATTTTTGAAGCATCATGAGCTTATTGCAAATAACAATTTCTGCTATCAATTAGAAATTTTTCCTAGCAAAAAGATAAACCCGATCAATTCTGATTTAAAATATTTAAATATTTCGACCTATAATTGATAGGAGAATGAGTAACATTAAAACATGAGAAAACCAAGTAATTTGCATGGAGGAATCATTTTGTTTCGAGATTAAATTGGTTTCAGATATGATTATTTAAAGTATGACTAAAGACGCTAAGAAAGCAAGCCAATAACAAGCATATGCACAAATTAAATAACGCATACAACCTTGAAACAATCAATATTATTGTAAGATTAAATTAGGACAAGGAAACTAACTACAGATTCTAGCGATTTGATGTTGACATGAAGAGAATATGTCATATGGGTTATCTGACTTAATAATAAAACAAACTTTTAGAACATATAACTTTTATACCCCTTTTCTAGACTTGAAGAAAAACCATTTTTAAATTGCCACTAAGAGCCACGGAAAATTGAATCGTCTGCGTATTAATATAACGTAATCTTCACTCACCAGCCATCGCACCACACTCGGACGTCTTTTTTGTGACCGTTTAACATTTTTTCCGTGGTATTTGTAGGCATTTTTTCAAATAAATTTTATTTTCTGACGTCTACTTGACTGACAGTTTCAAGCCTACTTCATCGAAACGAATGGTAATGGTTTGTATTCTTGGTAGGCGCCGGCGTGGAAAATGCTCGTTGCTTTCGTGTGGCGTCAACGGAAAAACTGGCTCGAATAGACTTTACAGCAAAAAGCTCGTTATGAATAAAAGCTATTTAGCGATAATGTTATCACTGTCCGTAAAAAACTATTGTTTATCATGACGCCCATTCGAATCACACCACCACACTCCCACTACAAAATCACTACACGCACGTGTAGGAAGTGATCCCCACTCTGAAATGGTTTCTGACAGGGCGGGACTTCATTTTTTCTAAGTAAAGAACTAGCACAAGTTAAACCTCCGGGAAGTTTTTCGATTTTTTATGAAGGTTTTTTTTTCTGTATTATCCTTATGAATTGGACTTCAATAGTAAATAACTCCATTGATATTAGGAAAGAAAGTACATATTCTGCTAGGTGTGCAAAACGTTCTTTGGCAAAGAATATTGAATATTCCAAAAGGCAGCAGGCTTAACTATGATGCTTTATGCATGAAATACGTTTCTAATTTTAGAAGAAATTAAATAATGCGATTATATAAAATATGTTCCATTAAAAATTATTGATTTGAGACCACCTTCCTTTAAAACCGTAAGTGATGCAAACTCAAAAATAATTGAGTGCATCAAACGTTAAGCCACCCCTGCCCACATCTTTCTTGGTCACCATCTCGACAACCTACGGTTAGGAGAATTGCCTATGTTTTAACAGAAATATCAAGTGAATCCGGCGCATCCTCCTAAAAATGAAATAATTTTTGATTTCTTATTTTTCTTTTTATATTTTGTAAATATTGAAATAAATTTATTTCACCCTCCGGTTTTATAAGTAATTCTCGAATACTTTCTTGAAAATGACTAAAAACGATTTTCAGCAACCTCTTTCAAAGATCGCGGTAAATTTTAAAACCAAATTGCATATTACAATTTACAATCCACAGCGATTGTTATATGCGAATCAACATATCTATCCATGTACACAGGAACACTGTACCGGGAGCGAAAATTATTTTTATTTATACAGGATTTCCTATAAACGTATTTTTTCCAATATATTCTTAATCATGAGTAGGAAAGCAGGAAATAGTTTTTGCTATCATTTGCAATCGTGGTACTCTTTTTTAAAGTTTGGAAATTACTTGTGTTGGAGTTATTTATTATTATCAATAGAACTTAAAGTGCAAATTTCAATTAAAGTTTTCACGTAAATCGTTACTTCGTTAACCGTAATGCTCACTTAAACTAACACGTAGACTTAAAGGCTTAAACTTAGATAAAAAACAAAGTTATTTTTTAATGACTTAATTATTTTAGGTGGATTACTGTTGTGAATTTATGAACACACGGATGTATTAAACTAAAATAACTTTATTAATAATGAATACACTTAGTTTAAATTAACACTCCCTCACGTTAGGTTAGGTTCTATTCTGCACCGTTTCCTCTTCTCTTTTTACAGTGGATAAAATTACAAGTAATCACAACACTCCTCGATTTGAAGTTTTACAAATGTTTGGATAAATGAAAATCGTGATTACAAGAATAAACAATTGCAGTGTTATACAATATTACACTTATCTCTAAGTTTTACAAATAAATCCTTGCTTAAAGGTTTTGTTAACATGTCTGCTAAATTTTCCTCAGTTGGTACATATTCAACAGATATTTTCTTGTGTAATACTAAATCTTTTAAATAATGATTCTTTATATCTATGTGTTTAGCCCTTTTTGAATTCTCATTACTTTTTGACATTAATATTGAACTTCTGTTATCACAAAAAAGCAGTGTGGGAATATTAAGCTTAAAATCATTTAACACCCCTTTAAGATTCATTAGGTCCTGAGCACAAGCAGCCGCTGCAACATACTCCGCTTCGGCGGTAGAAAGAGCAACGCATCCCTGTTTCTTTGAAAACCAGCATACAGGGTTGTTACCAAGTAAAATTAAGCAACCACTTACACTCTTCCGATCATGTTTATCTGATGCCCAATCTGAATCTGAAAAAGCTTTTAATTTTACTTTGTCATTGTTTGATTCATTTTTCACAAAAGTTAATCCTTTAAATTTAGTAGTATTTAAATAACGTAATATTCTTTTTCCTGCGTTCCAAGTATCATTTGTTGGCTTGTCCAGAAATCTACTTAAATATGAAACAGAAAATGTTATATCAGGTCGTGTAGTTGTTGACAAGTACATCAGTCTTCCGATCAATTGCCTGTAAGGAACATTCACAATCTCACTATTTTCATTATATTGAAATCCTTTTTTCATAGGTGTAGATTTTCCACTACATTCTTTCATGTTAAAATTTTCAAATAGTTTTTCAATAAATTTTGTTTGCTTTATTTCTAGTTTACCTTGATCTTCCTTTCTGTTTATTGTCATCCCTAAGAAATTCTTGACTTCTCCCATATCTTTTGCTTGAAAATGTTTCTTTAGTAAAAATACTGTTTATTCAACGTTTTCTACCTATTTTATCAGTTTCAAATATTATTTTAAAACCTTTTGTTAATAATTTTGACACAGAAATTAAGTTATGCGACATACCATTAACTATTAGAGCTTCTAATTTTATTTCTTTACCTTGGCAAATACCACTCAGCGTTCCCTTTTTCTCTGCAACCAACGTCTCCCCACTCTTGGCCGTACCTATTTTTATTTCTGTCTTTAAATCTTGTATATCTGTCATATAGTCTTGCAGCTCACTTGTCACTAAATGTTCAGTAGCTCCAGAGTCCAAAAGAAAACTGTTTATGTTACATTCAAGCTCACACTATTTAATGCAATAAATGCAACTTGTTTATCACTTTCTTTTACTTCGTTTGCCTGCTCACTTGTGTTTGCATTCGCACTATATCTACGATTATCTCGACGTGAACCTCTGTAATTTGTAGCAAATCTACCTCTATCTCTATGCCTATTCTGTAAAAACTCAAAAAATTTGTGACCTTGTTTGCCACATTTATAACACACATATTGGCTTGCTTTGAATGTAACTTCGTTATCATTTTTACTATTATTCCCATTTTTTGATTTCATTTTTAATTCTTCGTCCAACAATCTCGATTTGACAAAATCCATTGTTACATCTGTGTTTAATGTTTCAATCGCCGTTATTACAGGACCATAGTCCTCATTAAGAGACAAAAGTAAGTGGCATACCTTATCCGATTCTTCGATTTTTGACCCAATACTTTCTAATTCTCTTATTACAGAGTCAAATTTCAAAAAATGATCCTCTAATTTTTCGTTCCTTTTACATTTTATTGTTAGCAACTTCTTCTTTAAAGTCAACTTCGAAAATACACTTTTCCTTTGAAATACATCTTCTAATGCTTTTAACATATGCTTCGCTGTAGTGGAATCTTTAATTATATCAAGGTGTTTGTCACTTACACATTGCACTATAATTGATATTGCCTTTGCATCCCTTATTTTAAAATCTGTCTTCTCTTTTTCCTCAGCAAAATTTGATACTTCTTTTTCCAAGGTATCTTCATTCTGTTTCTCCTCCAGAAATGCTTTAACTCTAAACCTCCAGTTATTATAATTCTGTGCATTTAATTGTGGAAATACCACCGACGACGTATTCATTTTGCCGTTACAAGTTTAATACACGTGTTCAAAAAAAATTTTTTTTCAAATTTTCTCTATCTACCTTCCGCCAGTCAACGTCTTGCGTGGTTCTGGGTCCATAACCTGTTGTGAATTTATGAACACACGGATGTATTAAACTAAAATAACTTTATTAATAATGAATACACTTATTTTAAATTAACACTCTCTCTCATGTTAGGTTAGGTTCTATTCTGCACCGTTTCCTCTTCTCTTTTTACAGTGGATAAAATGACAAGTAATCACAACAATTACTCCTATCACATTTAGTCGTATTGACAAAGTTTCCGATAGGAAACTTCATAATGTATGGAATATTTTTTTCAGTATATAGACAATACAATATGGCAATACAATGGTTCAATAAATTGAGCTAATGAAACTCATAATTAGCTACCTGTAGTGATACGAAGCTTGTTAGGAGACGAACTGAAGTTTCCTCCTCTTTTAAACACAGATCTAGATGTCGCCCACCATCATGGACACGACAGTGTCTTATCTGGATTCCTATTAGCGTTGAGAAGTACAGGATCCCAATCCCGCAATTAAGACCCTCGGTTGCCTGAGCCCTGTAGTATGCTGTCCCAGCACCTTCGATCTATTTATTCAACTCGCTCTTCAGCACACTGAATTGAAAGCAAAACTTAGTACTGAACTGTTCGATCTATATCGACTAAAAGGTTGATTGATAATTAATTATAGTGTATCATGCTCTATTGTATTCCGATTTAAGCTATGGAACAGTACTGTGGCGTAATTCTTCGTCTTCTTGTTTCAATATGAACTATTCCTAGAATGACTTAGGAATTATGGCATTCTCTGCTTTACATTCATAAAAATCCTAAGTATATTCCTAAAAATACCTGTAATCATAATTAGCAGATTTGGCAAAAATTTACTAAAACCTTGTCTAAAATTGAAAATTTCTATTGACAATAGTGGTCAACTTGCTTAAAACTTCTGTCTTGACTTTAAGTCTCAATATAAGATCCTTAGACATTTTAAAAAGAAAGTTAAAGAGTTCGTTCACTGTGTCTACTCTGTTGTTGAATTTAAACGACAAAGCAAAATTTAACACACTCATGTCTGATGTTTCTTTTTATTGAGACATATTTGTTTATATGCGACAGCATTCATATATATATATGTTTCTTTTAATATCACACTACTTGTGTAAGTTTTATAGTTATATAAGTGTATAGTTACTGATGGAAGGCTCCGGTAAAAGACATGAACGGCTCATCCCGTTCCAGTCTGTCAGAGTCCTTAATTGTCCTCATGTCGCGAGATTGATTGAATTAAATTCAGCCAGTTTTGTCAAGTTTCTGTATAGTCAAGCTCTTTGTATAAATTGTGGAAAACTAATGTATATTCTATATGCTCGCTTCAGAAAACGTCTATGCTGCGAGTCAAGAGCTAAAGTTGTTTATATTCTATTCTATTGCAAAAACATAAAAGTGGTTTGCAAGCGAAGAGACCAATAATTGTCCATACCAGAAGCGAGGAGGTATTTTTAAAAGGTTTGCTAACCTTTCAGTCTTGCCACATAGGACATTACGACGAATATATGGGTTCGGATGTT